GTCACCAAACAGGACCGGTTCGGCGCCGGGACTGTGACGGGACTGATGTGTTTGAATCGACCTTAAAGCCTCTAACACAAAAAACTAAACATCGGACAATAAATGTAAACAAATAGATCGGTCAAAAAGATCGTCGACAATTTTTGGCTAAAGATAGAAAAAAATAATTACTATTTAAATGATAATAAGCCACAAGTAAAGGTTAAAGTAAGTTTATTGACGTTTAATTTCCACTTCGGTAATCGTTCTGAAAATACAAACATTAGTAAATTTACTAGAAAAAAGAAAGACCAGTCTTTCCAGTCATCATCATCTCATCATCAGACTCTCTCAATCCACTGCTGGACATAGACCTCCCCTGTTTGTCTCCAAAGTATTCTATCTTGTGCTTGCTGTATCCAGTTTTTTGTTGTCTTTCGTAAGTCTTCTTGCCATCGTGTTATTATAAATAATGCGGAAGTTCATCAAAATAACGTTGGGCATCTGAACCACAAAATTTTTTTAGATACTGCAGATCTGTATATTTTGCTTGACTGATCGGCAGAAGTGCTAAAATAATAACAAAAGTAAGCTTTATAAAACTAATTAATTGGTGGGTTTGACCTGTATAAGCATATGGAGGTAGCTCAAATTCCATTTCTGGCAATTTGTAGGTAGTCAATCTCTACTGTGTTATTACTGTGGTCTTCCAAGTTCCATTGAATGTTGTTCTGTAGTAAAAAGACAAGGATAATTCCTAACAGCTTTTATCTCGCGTATGGGTCGAGTTAGAAAAGGGCATTTATTTTGACAATACTTAGTTTGGGAAATTTTGTTATTGGAGTGCAAAAGGAAATAAGAATTATTACTCCGTCATTATTTCCTTCTTCTTTTAGTGCCATCTTCGCGACGAAGGTTGAAAATCATCATGGCTATTCTGACCTTCGAGGCAACAATTGCCTTGGACTGCAAAAAAACCACTCTCTCAGGTTCTTCAACTAGGAAACGCGTTTTCTTCCTATGCTTCTCCTATCTTCTATTTTTCCTTGAATTATAAGTCTCAAGAAGATGAATCTTTCGCCTCTTATTAACATGTCCGAGATATTATTTCCTAAAAGAATATTATGAGGATTTATTCATTAAAATCTAAAAGTACAAAAACTTTGTTACATTCTAGATTTTATGATTACATCTAAATAATGCCAAATTTAAACCACTTTAAATGCGTTAAATAATATTTTTATTTCTATTTTTTAGAAATCCTACCCCAGAGTCGGATCAAGAACTGCAGAATGTAATTTGGCCAAAAGTACAACCCAATGCTGTTAAGTATTTGGATATAAATAATCAGTTCACAGTAAAGGACAATCCACGAAACTACAATAATATTAAAAATTTATTAGACCATTACATACAGAAACCATTTATAGCATATTAACTGTATTATAAGTTACATTAATAAAAATAAAAACATAAAAAGCATTCCAAGTTATCTTGATTCAACCATTTTGTTTTTAAACCCTTTTTTTAAGACATTAAAAAAACTTAGAATAAGGAAAATAAAAATTTCGGTTTTTGAAAGATTAGTTGCATGCATACAGGAATTCAAAAGAAATAAATATGTATGTATCGATGGCTTAAAGCACACTTATTGTATATCAATTTCTTTTTATTATTGAGTTATGCACTGTACCCCGATAACCTCCAAAAATCGTATCATCCTGCACAGACATTGGATGTCCTAAAGCGTTCGGTGTGGTATAAATGACATTTCAAAACTGTGAATTAAGCTCAAAAATGTATTATGAAGGGAACAATTGTTGCATCTCCATAAATACAATAACCCTGCTCCTAACAATCAGAAGGGAGAGGGTAGAATATTGTATGTCCAAGACATGCAATAATTGTTCACAAAATAATATGTCACTATCAGCAAGTCAGCTGAAACATTAGCAGCTTGTGTGGTGTGCGTTTTTGAGGTTATAGCTATTAAAGTTTTCTTTTTTGGTGTCAAGTGAATTTATTGTTTATGTTTTATTGACAACGCTAATGAAAAAACGACCTAGAAGTTATAAACTGTTGCAGTTAGCACTGAGTAACTATTTTTATAAATTTACGTACGTAATTATAATTTAATCAAACTTCTTATCGCAGCAGATTGTTGTCAGTGTAATGTTGAATTAGAGACGAGTTAGTCCTTGTTAATTTATAGTTATTAGTTAATATATTATGAAAACGTCAGGGAAGTACACAGTCACTTTTTTGTAAAAGATTAAGTTCTAAACTATAAAAATTGCATACCTACTTAAAATTTATGTTAAGTGAACATTGCACATTCTTTGTCGTCTTATTATGTTTGATAATAAATATCGTTTGTATTATTAATATTGTATTACATAAACCTGGACCCGAAGGGCAGGTAGCAGGGAGGATAAGAGGGAGGCGGATGTCTAGCAATGAACACAGTGTTAAAAATCAACAAAAACTTTTAAATTATTATACCTAATATTCATACTCTAGAAACATGTTTTCTTGTTTCAGCTGACAAACCCAATCCTGAGCTTGGTACATGGGTTGAAAAACATGTAAATGTGGAAAATGCTTTGTACCAGATTTTAAATAAAGTAATATACAGTAATCATGACATCATCACATCTGCTCGACTAGGTGAGAGTATTTGTATTACAGAATCAAAAAATGACGTGATTAATTTACCTCATCGTATAATTTACATTTTTCGGCCAAATAAAGTGAAATACATGACTACTTCAAACCGACCAGGGGAATTGTAAATTACTCAATCCAACATAGTGATTTTTATGATTTTGGTGAATCATACGTACCAAATTTTTAAGAGCTGTCTAGTGATGAAAATAGTAATAAAGGAGAAGTTGTTGAAGATAATTTTAATCCAGTGTTTCGACACAAAAGATTTATTTGACAGAGCAGAGCTTGTTCCTCGTTTTCATCTTTATAGGCAGGAGTTAAGGAATTTGTTGCTTAAGGTAATGTTAACAGTTGTTCATCCTCGTCTTCTTTATCAGAAAAAATGTTTTTGGGAAATAATCTAGGCAACTTATTGTGTTTGAAACCAAATCCATCATCTGGATCAAAGTCAAGATCGTGATCTGAATCATCAAAATCTTTGTTTCCGCTAAAATTATTGATCTTTTTTGTAAGAGAAAATTGGCGCAACCTTTTCAAGTGCTGTACTTTCGTAAGTACTTTTGTATAGTGCAAAAGTGTGGACGCTAAAAGTATCAATCATGAACAAAATTGACGCATTGGAAATGTAAGTTTATAAAGGAGGAAAAATTTAACGACAAACAAAGGCAGACAAAATATGTAGAAAATAAAGAAGAGATGGAACAAGATTACAATCAGGGTGAGATTAAAAGATCATATATATTCTTGAAACAACTAGAGAGAGGGATATAAACCACAAACTAATCTTTTTCGCAATAGTGTAGAACAAACTATTAGTGATAATACAGCAGCCTGCAGCCCATGCAGTAGCAAATTTGGGGATAGCTCAGATAAACACTGACCCTATTTGGACGTGTCTTAGATTTCCTCGATACCTTAAAACCAGTTGGTTTCCGTGTGATATAGAGTAGGTTCTGAGCATGAGAAGGTAATTTCCGAGACCAGGTCGTCATTCTTAAGTGATAATATTTAATCGCTGTCTCAGATAGTTGTTTGGTCATTGCTAAGCACAAATTTCTGGACTTTGAGTATTTGCAACTCAAGGTACAAGCACTCTAATATTTTCATAAATTGGGAGTTTTTGATAGGTTTTTATATACCCTCCTAAAGCATGTTGCCTTCGAAGATTTGGTGAATAGATATGACTTAGGATAGTTACCCTGTAAGTTGCGGTAGACTTGATACTGCGGGTGATAATCTGCATGGTGTTATTTAATCGTAGTTTAATTTTTTTGGTGTGAAAGTTGTTTTGCCAAAGAGGAGAGACATACTCATCTACTGAAAATACCAAACCCCAAACAAAACATTGCAGTCTTAGCTGAAGCTTCCTAAGTGGAGCCACATAGCTAGTGGAGGATATTGTTTTTAGTTTCAATTTAGCAAATGTTCTTTGACCGCTAACGTTCTGTCTAACGTGACAGCCAGGTATCTCGGGAATTTGTTGTAAGCAATATATTGGTTTAAAAAGGTCACATCGAGTTCTTTCCTTGCCGTATTGTATAGATGAAAGCAGCATGCTTCTGTCTTCTTTGAATTTGGATGCAGTTCGTCAATTACGAAAGTAACTGCCAAAGGTTTTGAGGTCAACTGTTCGAAATTTGGGTGTTGGGTGTATATTGCCTGATCATCTGCGTATTCGAACTTCGTTAATTGAGTTTTGGGCTTATTTGGAATGTACAAACTTAAAAAAACTGGTATCAAGGTTGACCCGTAGGAAAATCTTGCCCAGTTCTCAATTCTTGTTCATTATCGGAATTTCCCATAGCTACTTGGAACGTTCTGTAGGAGAGCTATAAGAAAAGAGGATTTGGTATTTATCTAACAGACAGTGTTGTAGGCCACAGTTGAATCTATAAACACAACAAAAACAATAGCAGGTTTTTGTTTTCTTTAAAACCCAGCCTAAATGCGTATTGCCCAGCTTAAAATCAATTAGTACAACAGCAGTTGGAACAGAAACTTACCTGTTCTATGGAAATTCTTTTGAGTAGATGAATTTTAAAGATGTTAAGTTGCAACTGTTACATTAAGATCTAAAATTCAATGAACCTACATTGTTTTAAAAAGTGATACTTATAATATAGTAAAAATTATATTAATATAATCATTTATTTTAATTTTATTACATAATAATAAAAACATAATGTACCACCTGTTTATCTAACATATCGCCAATTACTGTGAACGAGTTTATATGCTTAATATATGTACCCGATTGGTTGAATAATTTGCAAAATTTAGTCAATTATATATAAATTATATCTAATCATTGATATTAATCTATATTTAGTTTTTATTCTGATAAAACATGAAGAGTTAGTATAAAATCAGATTTGATTCATAAGTATTTCGTCCCTTCTGTTTTCAAAATTAAGAAATGGCGCATCTAAAATTGTTTACAATTTGTGCACTTATATATTTTGCCAATATAGTGGTAAGTACGAATATTATTTCTTAAATTTATACTCTTGACTTAACTGTGCATCTCAAGATCACAGATCACAAGCATCCTGATACTTTATATTCCTGCATGTATCTCTAATTGACTTATTTGTTCCCTGTTTGCTTTAGATATGGACCGCTTGGTTTGTAAACGAATTTTGTTGATATATCGGTGAGTAGCTAACTAAGGGGGATATAGCAATCAAAAATACAGCGAAATACCGTTGTACCTGTAAAAAATCCTTGACTGTGTAGATCTGTCTGCGGATCTGCGTTGGGAAATTGTTGGGAGGCTATGAAATCAGAATGCTTGGCTTTAATGGGTGGGGGAAGCGGCGTGGACTGTGCATCATGAATATTATATAGGGGTATAATACTACTTCTTGAAGCATCGAAAAGGTTCCTATGGGGGTTATTCTGGAGGCTGGTCGTAGGTTTGAATCAAATTTCTGAATATTACGTGGATTTTCTGGTATAATGTGATCCTCTTGGACGCCTAATGTAGTTGCTATAAAACCATGAATTTGGTAAGAAAATGATGTTAAAAGTTGCTATATGACAGCATGTAATCGGATATAATTTGGAGAGAGATATTTTGGTCAGTTCTTCGGTATACTGTCGTACGGTCGTAGCATCCTCCGAGGTTTTCGAAACTTCTGGATGGCCTACGACCACCGCTCTTGAGGAGGATCGAAGGTTTCTTGACTCCATTTTTGTGTTCACAAGGTAAAGTTTATGTGATCTAGGTTTCCGCTTAGCGAGAAGTTTACCGGGGGCTTTGTGGTCAACAAGGTGCCACCAGCAACCAGAATACTTTAACAGTTTGAGGTTTATTTCCTACATTAATTTATCTTACATGAATATTTGTTTAGTATTCTGGTCACAGTGTATGCCTTGAGTCTTACAGAGATATCAACACTTCACACCTCGCCGTGTGGCCACGTTCACACTCCTCGAGAGGTACAGGAACCTCGGTAGAGTGTTGACTCTTCGACGGCCCTTTACTCCGTATCGCCACCTATCAAGAAACAATTTGTAATCCTTTAAGGATAGTTATATTTCTGTAAAGGTTTCTGGTGGCAAAGTGTTAGCGAAGCTCGGCCACCGAGTGAGAAGTGAGAAGAATTTCAAGCCCACTTGGGGCTTTTATTTACTTCTGACCGTGGAACGCTGTGTCAGTTCGACACGATCCTAAATAGTTATAAGACAACTATTTTTCCCTTTCAACTGTCAACTGAAAGACCATGTCTATCTGGCTAGGAAACGTTCTCTTCTTCTACTTCTCTTCTCTTCTACTTGTTTTCGTGCTACTTGCCTCTCAAAGACCATATCTATCTGGCTAGGAAACGTTCTCTTTTTCTACTTTTCTTGTCTTCTACTTCTCTTTGTGCTGCTTGCCGGCTTCTTCGAGGTAATTATGTCAGTCAACAATCACCGGTTCCTGTACTTCTTGTGGTTCAAATGATGTAGCCACATAGCTTCGTATTCATTCAATCACTAAACACCTTTGGAATCGTCTTTGTTTAGACGTCTTCTTAGATCGAAGAAATGTTCACTCAGGTAATAATAAAACGCAGAATCGCAGTAAAGGCACTCGGTCATTAAGGTCTAGCAGTGACTAGTGATGTAAAATCAGCAGCAGCAGCAATTTGATTAAACCCAGCCTATGAGAAATGTTCACCCAGGTAGTACGATCGGGTGTAACAATTCATTGGAGCAAGGTGTGCTAACTCGAGTAAAAACAGGAGTCATCTCACCGTGCTCCAATGCTCTAGACCATCCCTTTCCCCCCTATAGCAATCTGATTCGCTAAAGAGGCACAACAATCAGCCAAGTGCTCTTTATGTGGAGGTCCTGGGTAATAGAACCCCAACATTGTTTCCTAATACGATTGCAAAAACTCAGGACAGCGCATCTCCGCTTTATTCCTGTTTATCTTAATGTGGCTTATCCGCGAACTAAAATTGCTTGCTGGGCCTCAAGTCCCCGCTCTGAGTCCCGGCTCAGTTCGGGGCGACTTGGTGCTCAAGAGTGTTGGGCCCTACGTGCCCGGGTTTTTGGGTTTTTGTTAGTTTTTTGGTGGCCGAAGCCGGTTTTTGTTAGTGTTTTTTAATTTTTTTGGTGGCCGAGGCCGTTTTTTTTTTGTTTTTTATAATTTTTTTTGTAGGTGACCTGTGGACAAAAGAATCTAAATTAGTATATAGTCTACATGATATTAAAGAAAATATATAAATATTATACATTACCACAATATAGACTGTATCCTTGTGTGAGTAACAGTGTGTGAGTTTGTTAGGCGATGGCGATATTCTGGGTGATTTGAGCTACGAACTATCTTCCTTGTGTGTGTGTTTTGATTGGATTTTCTTCTCACTCTGGGCTTTTTATAGAATTTTGTCCCTCTTGGGGGGTTTTTTATATATATCCCTCTGGTTTTGCGTTAATCTAATATTTGTTGTTTTGGTCTTTTGTGCTTCCATCTGTGGAAAGCGTCATACCTTATTATCTCTCGTAGAATGTGACTAGGGTGGTTCTCTAGTTCTGCGAACTTTTTCCTGGCTTTTTCTTTCATAGTGTCAGTCACTCTGATTTGCTGTAATTCTCTGAAGAGGAATCTTTCAACTACGTATCTTGGTACGTTTACCGCTTCTCTTAGGCTTTTGTTGTGTGGTGCCTGTATTTTCTTTTTAGTTGTGTTGCATATGTGTACAAGTGACGCGTAGGTTACTATAGGAAGGATTAGTAATGTAGAATCGGAAGATGTGCTGCCTTTTTATACACTTTGTGATTTCAATTTAGCATAGATCTTGCCAATGACAACATAGTTAATAAAAATGTTTTTGTGATTGGTCCCTTCTGGTGACAATATATACGATAATAGTTTTAAGGTTATTTTTTATGTGGAAAGTTTTTAGTGTTTTTGTGTTACACTTCATTTTGCGTATGATGGCCCCATGCTAGTATACCTATAATGGTCCGAATATACCTATTTCAGAATAATTCAAAAAATAGACAGCAGTGGAATAAAGAAAACATAAAACAAGCCTTAGAAGCATTATAAATTAAAACAATGGGTTATTCAACGGCAGTAAAAACCTTTAAAGTACCTTGTACTGCACAGCAGTAGGTACGAGGTACACAGTAAAAAATTTACAAATAAACAAGGCAGTATCAAAAAATATTTAAGTGGATATAAGCTTGAATTTCTAGAAATTCTGAAACCAGGATTTCTAGCCTTATCAATACAGAATTAAGAAAGCTTGTTTTACAAATAGTAAAGAAACATAAAATTAATTACTGATTTGTGGCTGAAAGGGTTTCTCGCAAGGAACTAAAAGATAACTGTTAGATTTCCCGAGCAGATATGTATCGCAAGAGCACAACATGTTTTGTATAAATAGAACATTAGAGTGTTCATCAGTTCTATTAAAAAAGGTTTGGAAACATATTAGTTTTCTCCTAAAAATATCTACACTTTATCTTACACGTTAAAGCATCGAACGAAAATAAAGTCCAATTCATTCTTTATGGGCATTATGAGTATTTTTGGACACAAATTTGTACTGAGCTTTATGATCATGGAAGGCGCACATGTTTATTATTAATTCTCCTTCGTAACTTAATTTTATTTTCGTTAAATCTCTGTTTGAGTTCTCATACTACTTTTTTAGCAATAAAATGTTCTTTTTATTAAACATTTTTTTTATATTGCTTCTAATATTGATTTCTCTATTAAAAATATATTACATAGGGAAACCTGGCCCAAAATGACATACAAGGGTAAAATGACACATCCGGTGTATCTCTAACTTGGCAACATGGCTATGCGCTAAGAAGTTTTATACAAGAGCATCACCTGGTGCCTAATTGATGTTCCAACGGGCGTCGCGATCATTTCAGTCGTTTACTTGTTAAAAGGTGGTTTGTGCTTTATTGAGTACCAAAATATTTTGGTAGGCGACGTATACTTCGCTATAAAACGTTTAAAACTTTAAAATTTTATATCTCTGCTAGTTCCAGGTATGTATTGTTATTCATATTAACAGAAACATCATGTTTGGAAGCTTTGTTTATTTAAACAAAAAATTTATTGTAAAAAACGTGTTCTTGTTCACACTTGGGTAAATCGACATATTAAATACTCGGGTAAAATGACATAGTATGTCATTTTGCCCATATAAATTTTAATAATAATATGGTAGGTAGAATATTATTGTATGGTATTTTTCTTTTTTAGTATGGTAGGACACTACGAAAGGAAAAGTACACGCCAGTCTTGGGATCCAGTACAAATGCAAGTACAAGTGCCCCAAGCTACTTTACGAAGACGAGCATCAGACAAGAATAAACGGGTATCAGGTACTAATAAAGGTCTTGGCAGGTACGAAACTACGTTCTCTGTAGAATTAGAAAGAGACCTCGTAACACACATAAAACTCTTAGAATCAAGTTTTTTTGGATTATCTTGTAATGACGTTCCTTCTTTAGCCTACCAGTTAACAGATCGAAATGGAAAGTACACCGATTTAACACAACCACTAAGATGGCTGGTTGGGATTGGTTACGAGGGTTTCGGTCTAGACACCCGGATATATCCCTTAGAAAACCCGAGTCCACGTCTGCAGCAAGAGCGCAATCATTCAACAGGCCGCAAATTGCCAATTTTTTTAAACTTTTAGAGGATACTATTACAAATAACAAAATTAATCCTACACGCATATGGAATGTGGATGAACCAGGCCTATCCACGGTTCAAAAACCTGGCAAAATATTTGCAACCAAGGGTCGGAAGCAAGTGGGCCTAATTACAAGTGCGGAAAGAGGGCAGCACATAACGATGGTTGCTTGCATTAGCTCAGTGGGGAATTATGTTCCACCAACACTTATATTCCCCAGGAAAAATTGGAAAAAAGAATTAATAGATGAAACGTCTTTAGGAACTTTAGGAATAGCACAGGAAACAGGATGGATGACAGGCGAAGTGTTCCTAACATGGATGAAACATTTTAAAGAATATTCTAATCCTTCCATAGAAGACAAGGTTATGCTGTTACTTGATGTGCATGCGAGCCATAAAAACATTAATGTTTTAACTTTTACCCAAGACCATGGAATAGTGATATTGTGTTTTCCGCCGCACTGTACCCATCGTCTACAGCCGTTAGATGTATGTTTCTTTGGTCCATTAAAGAGCTACTATGATCAAGAAGTTACCAAGTGGATGAAGTGTCATCCAGGCAGAACAGTTTCGCAATACCAACCTGGAGGATTATTTGCTACAGCGTATGAAAAAGCAACTACACACCAAAATGCCGTAAGTGGATTTTTAAAGACTGGAATTTGGCCCCTTAATCCCGACATATTCCCTGATTATTTATTTAATCCTTCCAAAATAACAGATATTCAAGAAGAAGTTGCAATTCAACCCCTAACAGAGTCAAAAGAAGAGAATGATAATGTTTTGCGACATCAAGATTTTCCAGATCAAGGAAACAAACCGGTTTCTACCCCTAGACCAAAGTCACTTGAAAGTTGTTCTTGAATTAATCCTGGTATTCGTCCACTTGACATTTCACCTCTTCCATCGTGTTCAGGTGTCCAGTCACGCTCCAAAACAAGAAAATCAGAAGGAACAAAAGTTCTAACGGCTTCCCCAAATATAAAAGAATAAAAAGCCAAAGCACTCGAGTAGCGAGCTACAGAAAAACGTCAAGCTGCAAAGCGAGCAATTAAGAATCTGACTTTAATGACACAAGATCGTGAGGAGGAAACAAAGACCGTTGTGTCAGATGATGACGAAGACGAAAATAATCCTCCATGTTTATATTGTAACAGTTTGTACTTCCATTCAAGGTCCAAAAAAATTCTGGATTAGGTGCCAAAAATGCTCAAAATGGGTAGACTGTGATTATACTGGTATCTTAAAATCGTACAAAAAATTTATTTGTGAACTTTGCTAATTTAGTTTATATGACATTTTATCCATGTGAGCGTGTCGTTTTAGCCGAATATACTTGGATAAAATGACATAGCAACGTTTATTTTGTTTCCTTTTTTTAATTAAAAAATATTGTGTTGTTAGAGTTTTATGTTCCATGATCTGTTCTACTTCCAAACAATGAACAACATTTAAGTTTTTTTAATTTTTTATTAAAAAAATAAAAAAGTTATTGGACGACAAAAAAGTAGTATGTCATTTTAGGCCAGGTTCTCCTATCTACTAACATTATTTACTTACTTTTAGGTAACTTCACCTGTAGTTACTAATGATGACTTAATAGTAACACTATCTACTGGAAGTAAAGTTCAAGGGTATGTTCGTCAGAGTTTTGAAGGCAACAATTTCCATGCATTCGAAAATATTCCATATGCAGAAGCTCCTACTGGAAAAAATAGATTTCAGGTAAAAGTAGAAAATTACACATATTAATAGTTAGTGTAAAACTATTAACTCATTCTAGTTACTAGCGTTTATTATTTTCGTATTTTTCGGGTAGGAGAATTATTTTCGTCTTGTAAAGATATTCACTGCTGTTTTTACCCACACATTTACCCAGCTGTTTGATGGCATCTTTTTAGGAATGAGACCAAAGTAATAAGAATAAGATATATTATCTAGATACTTTCCATTTTTCAATGTTTCCTTAACATATAAACCAAAATCTATAAAAACTTTCCAAGAACTTGCTGTACAAATAATACTAATATTAATACATTGACCTATTTTAGCCTCCATTGGCCAAAACACCATGGGAAGGAGTGTTTAATGCAACTACTGGCAACAAAATGTGTCCACAATTTCTTGGTATTGATGTATATGATAAGGATTGTCTTGTTTTAAATGTATATAGACCACTGGTAAGTTTATTTATATTATTTGTTATTCTTACGAATATTAATACTACGACTGAATTGAAAAGAAAACTATTTTCAAAGTGTGTACAGCATTTTATTTCTATCTGAGCGCTTTGGTCTATTAATAACATTACCATCAAAGTACAAATTATACTTCTGGTGTTTCGGAATAATCGCTGAAAAACTGAGTATGACATTACCAGCTAAACCAATATCTATTAAATAATAAAGATACTTTCCTGTAAAAATTTCAAATTAATGCATCAAAGCAGAGAGAGGTATTAGACATAACAAAAATTTTATATTCCAAATTTTTCGGCTTTTTTTGGGTTGTAATGCTTGAGACTGCGTCTTCTTTTAAAATGAGCAATTTGTTTATCGATTGATAAACTCTTCGGATGAGAACTGTAGAATATACCTCATTTACTTCTAATCTTGTATAATTTATTATAATCTGGAGACTCTTTCTGCTCATATGTAATTTTTTTTATACTCTCAAATCGGCTTAGACTCATTCCATCAGCTACTTAGGTTATCCTCATGTTTGGATTCCAGAAAATTCGTTGTTTCGGTAAATTATATATTGACATATAGCATGGCATGCCAGTAAATTGTTCTATTTAAGTTTTTGTTACCGTAAGTGGTTTATTTGGATTTTTCTGGACATTATGAATTAGACTGCTAATTGAAAAGTTCAAGCAATAATTTTTTTACAGACTTTCCATTTGCAAGATATTTTTAACTTTTTATCTCTAACACTCCATGCTCAGATGTCTTACAACAAAGAAAATCATCCCCGTCATCTTGATTATATTCATCCTGGAAAAAATATTGAGATTCTTATAATTATATTAACCAATTAAGAAAGCTTAGTGTTTAGAAATAGTATAAATTGACTAAAACTTATACTGCACACCTGTAACACAAGACTGACGACATCTGAAAACTTTTGGCGCGAAAACTTGGTCTGTTGTACTGACATGGAGAGTTGCGCTATCACTTTGATAGAATGAGTCTTTTACTACACGATATGCACTTTAAAATTACTAAAAAGTAAAAGGTTAGTTCTATAACTGAATTTAATTTCGGCGTTGCCTAAAAGCAACGCTATGCAATATAGAAATATATACCTATATTGGTGACGTCAAGACATAACAAATTTTGCAAGAATAGATGGTATGAAATTCTTTTAGTGGGTTTTTCTTGAAAACTACACAGCTGGTAGCTTCTTATTGTCTGTCGTATCAATAGGGTCATGTTTAAACTAATCAACTAATCAAGAGCTGCTCAGACTCAGTCTTAGATTGCGATTCTTTAATTGTATCTTCATTATAAGTTTATCCACGCTATTAGGTATTACCTCGATATTGGGTATTAACCTCATATCAAGCCCTATATGACGATAACGCCCCTGTGGTTATGAGGGATTGAATAGCTACCTGTGACTAAGTGGTTGAATGCAATGTACATATGTGATCCAAAAAGTGTTTATTATTTAATACATAAACTTAAATGAAAATACAGTTTTTACCCCTTAATCTATGTAATTTTGTATTTTTTATAAAAATCTATGATTACAAACTTGACTTCAAGATTACGTTAAAAATATACAAAGAAAATCCTACTAGTTTAGTTTTTTAAGTCATAGTTTTCAGTCAGAGCTAAATTATTATTCTCATTGTTACTTCTTTTCCAAAGAATCAACGTATCGACGTTAATCAAATCAATAATATCGAAAAATATACGCATGTACCATATTTTGGATCTTAGTTTGATCCTATAATATCCCAACATAGTATCCAGGAGACCTACATCCCCCATTAACTCGTTGTATATCGTTACAGCTTTTAGACATGCAACTATATGTGTCTTATCATTTTTCGAAAACCGTTTAACTTCAACTGTCCCTGTCAGCTGTTCATACTCCCAGCATCTTTTGATAAAATGTTTACTTATGAAACGAAAATATCATAATCGTAAAAAATCCGCTGACAAAATTTAGAACAAACGCCTTATATTCCTATTTATGAAGTCCTTGCGGATTATATTGTTGATGAACATTATAGATATTGTAGATGAACGCAGAGAATATTTGAAGAAGACGAACGAATGAAGAAATAATGAGGATTTATGGGAAACCAGCAATTACGGCAAAAATACGAGTTAGATGGCTTAGCCACATTATACAAATGCCAAAGTAACAAAATGTTAAAACAATACTGAAGGAATGAGAAATGGAGAAAAAGAAGAGAACATCCAAAGAAGAAATGGTTGAAAACAGAAAAGCAAGTCTTGTCAGAAATAGGCGTGAGAAATTGGAGAGGGAAAGCAAGGGAATAATATATAGATGAACGCGCCTTTGTTGGAATTATCTGCTTATCTATGGCTAAAAATTCCTCTTTCGGAACACTGAGTAACTAATTCTTTAGTTTATTTACTAGCGGTCGGATTTTAAAAAGTTTATCGTAACTAGGATTACCGGCAGAAATAGCATCTTTATTGTTCGCAAAATGCAGAAAACGTTTTATTTCTTTCAATTTATTATATGACATAACATCTGAGATGAATCGATGATTTGGGCTGGACTTCCAATAAATTCTAGCATTTGGTAATTGCACTATTGATACATAAATAAAGGTTGCTAAAAACCGTTCAAGCTTAATTTCAGAAAGTTTTTTTGAGGTCTTTTTTTTACTGAATCTAATATAGTTTGATAAATTATATCTTTAACCATCTCACTTGTTAAAAAATGTTTTAAAAATGCTTGAAGAATTCGCCTGTTGCAACTCAGATGGCAGATCAGTAGAACCTAGAAATCTTATATGGTCATCTAATGTTACCAATTTTCCTTCTTTCTAAGTTGGATGATTTTTATTTCTATTTCTTCAATTACGTCGTAATGCATCCAAAGAAATATTATTTTCGGTATCCGAACTGCTTTCTAAATGCGTTACTGGGTTAATAATATCTTGATTGATTTTTATCTATTATATAATCTTCATAGTATGACTCTGGGGCTAATATAATAAGGGAAATGTCATCATCTGAAGTCCCTGATATTCATTCGTCTTCACTACCATCTGGTATGTCGACTACCACAAGGGTTTCTACCATAAAACTTTTTTGGATCCATTATCTAAAATAAAAAAATATATATACTTGGTTGACAGCGCATATTGTGCCATATATGAAAAAGAGTTTTGCACGACAGTGCATATTGAGCATATATGGCACAAGCCTATTTTTGATCAAAAAATACGAAAATATAAAGATATACAAGAAAATAATTACAGAAATTCTTTCTTGAAGGTCTATCCTTGACGTCGCAATTTTTTTTATACAAAAATATTCAGTAGAAACTTTGATAATTGAATATCAAATTGCACAATTCTTACAAACAGCTGTCAGACTGCGGCCATTTGCAAATCTTATAAAACTTTATTAGCGGTTATACGAAATATGTGCTCTATATGGACATGTCATACATAAATACTTTAAAATAAGATTTGATCTCTAACGGTTAGGTTATAAAACTAAGTTTTGTGCCATATATGACTCACTATGCGGTAAGGAGTTTGGATTGAGTTGAGTTTTAACCGTCAATCAAGAAACATACATGTTCATCCATGTTTATAAATTTCTTGATACTCTCTCTCTTCAATCCTGACCCCCCAGGGTGAGTGTAGTGGTCGACGTGATGTCGTGTATTGTCCGTCTCCAGAGATCTCTGTCTCTGGCCATTTCTTTTAATTCGTGCATAGGTCTTTGGCATATTCATGTAATTTGATCTATCCATCTTATTGGGGATCTTCCTCGTGTTCTTCGGCCTTCTACCTTTTCTTGTATTATGAGTCTTTCCATGTTTTCTGTGTTTGCTCTCATAACATGCCCAAAATATTTTAATTGTTGGAGATGGACTTTACTAGAGAGTCGTTGGCTAACTTTTAGCTCTCTTAAAATTGAATTATTTATTCTACGGTCGGTCCAAGGAATTCGTAACATTCGTCTCCAACAGAACATTTCAGTGGCGTCTATCTTTTTTCTCCCCGATTGTCTCAGAGTCCAAGATTCACATCCGTAGGTCAGTATTGGGAATATTAAGCAGTTGATCAACCCCATCTTTATCGCTCTTGAAATTTGACATTCCTTCCATATTTTGGTCATTTTTGCTGTGGCAACTTTTGCTAGATCACATCTACGTTTAATTTCTTCTTGTAATGACCCTGTGTTTGTGATTAATGATCCCAGATATAAGTATGAGCTCACAACCTCGAACCGGTCAATTGTGGTTATGTGTGGATGATTGTTGTGTAGTCTATCCACTATCATGATCTTTGTCTTTGATATGTTTAACTGCAGACCAAATATTTGACTTTCGTTTTCGATCAGTCGTATAAGTTCCATCAGCTCTGCTTGACTATTTGCAAGAAGGGCTGTGTCATCTGCGAAACGTAGGTTGTTTAGTTTATGACCATTTATTGAGATGCCCTTTTCCCATCCTTTAAGTGCTCTTCGCATAATATACTCTCCATATATGTTGAATAATTGTGGAGATAGTATACATCCTTGTCTGACACCCCGTTCTGGATGAAACTCGTTCGAAAGTGTGTCAAGTACTTTAACTGATCCAGTAGTGTGTTCATATAGTTTAGTTATAAGCGTAATTAGATGTTGTGGTATGCCTACTTCATTTAGTATTCGCCATAAGTGTCTACACTTGAACCTGTCGACCGCTTTACGGTAATCTATAAAACAGGTGGATGTTGAATTCCCTAGATCTCTCGATTCTAAGTCAGATTTTATCTGTCTTATATTCAGCAGGTTTCTTGTAACAAAAACCCTAAAAATCCATGAGAAACAGTAAATTCATGCTATAGTATAAATTTGTTAATAAATTATAATTAAAAGTAAATAATTTAAATTAAATCTTTACTTTTGTTTTTTAGCCTTAGTAGATCTTGTATATTTTTTTAGAAATCTGATCAAGATTTGTTGCCTGTATTTTTCTGGATCCATGGAGGAAGTTTCAACAGTGGATATGGTTCTATTTATGATCCAAAATTGTTAATTGATTACGATATTGTAATTGTAACAATTAACTATAGGTTGGGAGCTTTAGGTAAGGATTCCCTTAAAAGATATTAATATGAATAAAATCATAGAGAAACTAGGATTTATCGTAGTTTATAGAAAGCGGTTACTGCAGTTAAAGACATCCATATTTTTTTGATTCTAGAAAATTTTTATAATAATCAGTTTTTATTACAGGATTCTTAACAACAATTAACGATAATATTCCTGGTAACTTGGGTCTAAAGGATCAGTTACTTGCTCTTCGGTGGGTTCACGACAACATTAATGCATTTGGAGGCGATCCCAAGCAAGTTACAGTAGGTGGAGAAAGTGCTGGAGGCATGTCTGCCGGGTTTCATTTACTCAGTAAATCAACTCGTGGTATGTATATTTATACTTTATAAACATATATTGCAACATAGACAAAGTTAGTATAAACCTCAATTATTAATTTTTTTTAAGTAATTCAAACCGCAGAGCAAAACAGGCAGGGTAACTTAATTTTTTTCTAAGTTACCAAAATTCGTTTAATATAACTTCACAAAAAATAAAAATTCTACATATCTAAAATCCAAATTTCTGGTGATATGCCTATACACACGTTTTGCAATGCTATATGTGACGCAATTGGTGCTATAATAAAAAAGTCTGTAACAATATCTTTAATAATCATGGTGTGACAAAATTTATTAGTGCAATAAATACAAGAATATTATAGGAACAAGAGCGAGAAAGACACTAGCAACTTGGCAACAGTGTTAAAATGACCATTATGATATTCTACGGAACAGAACATCGATATCTAATTTTAAATGAAATAAAAGTTATTATTTTGGAAACATTTGATTTTAAGTGTAAATGGAACAGTCGCATGTCTTCAAACTATGTGTTCTTTATTCTTTAGAACCAATTTACTTCGAAGGCTTTTTATTTGGAAAAATAGTAGCGGCATGCATTTCATATTATATTGTTTTGATTATAGGTTTAATTAAGTGCGGTTCTATTTGTCTGAATTTGTTACAATCCTGTGACAAAAGAAGATGTTTCTCCTATAATCTTGTAACAGTTTGCTTTGGGCACTCTGGTTAAAACTTATGTTTCTGCAATTGCCTCTGATTTATACAATTCAGACCATAGACCTTAATCCACGAACAAATACTTACAATGTCGGGATAGTATTATGAAGTTTTTTTCCTGGTTTTTCCCTCATAATTTACTATGGAGTCACTAACAGGAGCATTTTAACTGTCATGTGTTTGTCTTTTTTAAAGAAGAATTACATGCTATGATTTTTTTCTGACGGATATTCTCAAGTTAAAGTTGATTTCATGAATTCGAATGAACTATCTTATAAGTAAAGTCGTTCCAGGAGCGCAACTCAACAATATTGGCAATATCATTTAAAGTCGTCTACTTTAAAATGCATAATGTATGTCTGAATTGTCAATATAAATGAGTCAGATAAAATTAAATTATTAGAAGAATTTTTCACTATGTAACAAAAAACAAAATTTGTTTAATTTACTGTTTGTATTTTGAGAACGATTTTCGAAGTGGAAATTGAAACGTCAATAAACGTACTTTTATCTTTAATTGTGGCTTATTTCCCAGTTAAATAGTAATTAATTTAAAATGCCAAAATAAAATAGCTTCAGAACAATAACATTTTTTTAGGTTTATATAATGGAATTATTCAACAAAGTGGCTCGCCATTAGCTGCTGCTTTCTATTCAACAAATACTCGAGAAGTGGCATTTGAATTTGGCAGGCAATTAAATAAATCTTTTAATTCCAGCAGATCCAGTGATTTATTAGAAATGTTGCAAGAAGCGCCAGTGGCAGATATAATGAACTTACAAGGAACGGTAAATATAAACCTTATTGCTTCACCCTGTATAATTATTATTTATACCATTCGATAGCATTTTTTATAGTCTTTTCAATGATGTATCACAAGTAAGGCTTTACAATTTAAACTTTTTTAGTTGTGGTGGGTGGGGCCCATGATACTATAACAACATGTTATATGTTATATGTTTTGTTATAGTAACATGGGTGGGGCCTAGCGAGTTAATGGGGGTTAGTTCTCTTTCATGCCGTTTTAGTATCCCCTTACTATACTAGAAACGGTTTCAAGCATTTTTGATTATCAGCTTTTGTTCGTAAGATATAGCCCATTGAAAGTTTGAAAATTAACACACTGTATATCCAATAGTTTACATTTGGAGCTACACCACAGGGACACATGACAGCCGCTGTTTGGAAGCCAGTTATGGAGGAAGAATTCAACGATGACGCTTTTGTTAGTAGACCCATGCACAGCTCTGTTCTTAATGGTGAATTCAACTTTGTTCCTATACTTATTGGTATTAATTCTGAAGAGGCTACTCTGTTTGTGAGTAAGTAATTTAAACTATTAAAATGATGCAATCTCGAATTAATTACTTCTGTAATTTGGCAACTGCTTTGCCAAAAATTAAACAGGTTTTTCGTCACAATATTTTTGTGTGCATAAGTCAGTATCAGCAATTTTTTACTGTTTTTTGTAAACAACAAGCATTTTAAAGTAAATGTGAACACATATTAAGATAAAAAAACTAAAGAAAAGTGTGGTTATTGAAAACAATAAATAAGAAAATAACAAACAAAGTTCATCAATTAGTAAACACACAAAGCGATTGCTAATATAAAATGTTTTAATTGATTATTATTATGATATCTGTATGTCCAATATCAAATCTTCAGAATTCATATCCGAAATTGGACAGTATAATTTTATACTGTTATTAAATACACACACGTAGTTAATTAGGTTACATACGGATTTGGTCAATTATCAACAATATAATTTGGACATCAGTCAAAAGTGCTGACAAAGTTAAACAATTTACATAAATTAGACACACATATCACGCGAGGCCCGCGAAAATATTGACCCAATTAAAACTTATATAAAACTAATATCTCTTGCCTAGAGAAGCATTCAATCAATATTCACTCAACAAACTTGATAGTCTTCAGCGATCCACTGCAACAGTCTCTACTCAAAGTAATCCCGGTCAACACCCATAGTGTACGTCTCATTAATAAATTCTGCTACTATTATTTGGTGTTTCCATTACAACTGAACGAACATCTCCACCGAGCCAACGAAGGGGATTTGTTCACTGTATGAAAAGGAATAACGAAGCAGTGTCGTTATGGATTATGTGTATTAATCACTTAAAGACAATACTTAAATAATATTTTATAAAAATCTACAATATGCTATACCTACAATATTTTATTTGTATTAAATACTATTCAGTATAAGCATTTGTCATTTAAGTCTGAAAATATTAAATGATTACACACTATAATAAAATTTTTGTTAATTAATATATTTTTGTAAGTAATGAAAATAGATTGACATTATTAATTAGAATAAAAAATTATATATATTTTAACCCTCTCTGTGGCTCAGTGGTAAGAGCGCCTACCTTTGAACCTAAAGGTCGTGAGTTCTTATCTCACCTGGGTGGAGAAATTTTCGTTTATTAAAAATTAATGAATGAAAATAATTTCTATCCTTGTGCGATCGGTACTCACCTTAGGGACCGCAGACGTTCGGATACAATTAGCGTCTCTTAGCAAAGACAATGACGTCGACTTTGCTAAGTATCAAGACAATATTACTCTACTCTCTCACACACACACACATACACTAAACCTCAAATTGTAAGATTGGCGAATGGATTTAATGTCCGCAGTCATTTAAACACAAACAAACAACAACTATACATATTTGCATAGCCTACCATGTACTATGTACCAAATAAAATAATATTTTTGTAAATTTTTTAGATACTAGCAGTGATGCATTTATACAAAGAGCAAAATCATATGATGAAAATCCAAAAAATGTTATATCTGAATCTTTTAATGTAGCTGAGGATGTTAGAGAATATGTTGGTAGAGCACTAAAAAGTCTCTATACAAATTCATCATTTGAGAAAGATGGTATGGGATTTATAAAAGTAAGTAGATTATCTGATAAACTTCTGGATAAAAGTCATTATCACAATATCTGAATAATTTGATATATTATACAAGATGATTGTTAATTGTTCTATTTGGACGTTTTCTAAAAACTAAATATTGCATAAAACACACATAAAATATTTATTACATAAAAGTATATTTTCTTAAAATATAATTATTATCTGAAAATTTGGCATAAGCTAAATCTAAAATATTTGAAGCTTCCTGCTACTCTTTGTTATACTGAAAGTAAACTAAAATTATCCTGCTTATAGGATTCTCTCAATATATTCTTTTTATAGTCTCAATTTGTCATTGTAAAAATAGTAGACACTAGTGTTTTTACAATGATATCAATGGTATGATTGAGGTATGATCATTATTAACCTGTTGTCGTAACTGTTCAGTGGAAAACTTGATTCTTGAATTCTTCCAGTTACTTGTTGCTAAATATTATTTGGACTTCCCGTGTTTTTAGTAAAGAACACAAGACCGTACATGAAACTATTTAATACTTAGGTATATGCGAATGTTATAATATAGAAAAAAAAAACTTAATTGTTTGTAATAATGCAACTAAAAAATATTACAAATATATTAATATTATAATAATATATTACATGTTGTTACTTCGATGAATTGAAGCAGAATAAATGCCGGATGAGGGTTGCTAATCTACGTTCCACGTTTAGAAAATAACATTGCGGAGATAGGGCCATGTATTTCTTATGGACGATAGCAACGCGGCGTTGCCACGACACACAGAAGCACAATTTAGGGTTGTATAATTTGTATTTTCTTTTCCACAAACATGAATTAAATTAATGTTTTTTAACGTAATTGACCAAAAGTTCGAAACAAGAGAAGAAAAGTAGGGAAAATGATTTTAATTAGATAAATAGTATCTACAAAAGATAATTTTATTTTATCTTATATTAATTACGTATAGTAACGACAGTTTATTTGTTTTTCGCTGAGAATACGATATGCCATGAATCATAGAAATCAGTAGAAAATATTGACCGCTTGGAATGCGTATATCTAATTACTAATTCCAACTTAAAATAATACGATGTGCGTATGTAAGCTATTTTATGTCTTTTTTGACTACATAATGATAATAAGGCTTTTATTCAGTAGTTATTCTGACTTTACACTTAAATGTTAATTGAAAATGAAAATTCAAAAATTAAGCAAAGGGAATATCTTTGACATCCGTGCAAAAGAGAGTGTCTGAGAGTTTTGGCAACACTGATCTCCATAAGCGTAATGTCATTTTCTTAACTTGAAACAAAGAATAGGTAGCCTTCCAAAGCTATGCTTGCGCCGTTCCAAAGACGACAGGGCCGTCCTCAGATCATTTAAAGTTTTAACAGAAACATTGTCTAATTTGACACACTGTATTTTTATAAGTTATAAAATTGTAAACAAACATTTTGTTTGGTACAAATTTTAACAAAATCAGGTTAAATTTACAACACATCCAAGAAATAAAAGGAGTTGAAAATTTATATCCTCGAAATAAGCGAGCTGAGTTGCTACTTAGGGTCCATAGAGAGATGTTGGCCCAGTGTCGGCAACTCCTGGGAATCCTGCGCTGTCATGCAGTAAATCTGTTTCAAACTTTAACAAAATTTAAATTAATTAACGAATATGAAATAACTAATACCTTTAATTATTATTTAAAGGGTTTTACCCACATTTTTAGTGACTTTATGCATGTATACCTAGCATCTTCATACAAAGCAGGGAAAATCCACTTTGCAATACAGGAGATAAAGAGAATGCATCTTGAATCCTAGTAATAGCAGCAATGAGACATCCAGATTCTGGAGAAATACAAATAGAAGATCTCAAGGTATATTACTCGGAACAAAGTGATGGATCACATTAATATGGAGTCGGAATAATCGTATTCCCAAAGTTGCCAAATGCGTTACTAACTTTACACCAATATTAGAGAGAGTGATGTTACTACAAGTAAGTAAAAAGGAAATAAAAGCCGTATCTCTTAATATAAACATTATCCAAGTCTATGCTCCCAATGCAGACAAAAGTCAAAGTGCAGTCATGCAAACATGCAGTCAAAAAGGAGGAAGAAGCAATTGAGTTCTATCAGAACATCAACAGTTTTATACAGAAAATTACTCGTCAGGAAGTTCTCATCATTTTGGGCCATTTTAATACCAAGATTGGAGCTGCAGGTAAAACACAGTACATTGGAGAACATGGACTTGGAGTCAGAAATAAGAGAGGATACCACCTAGAAAAATTCGCGGAAGACTCATAACTAGTTGTCACCACCACATTCTTCCAATTACCACATCGCAAGCTAAACACATGGAAATTACCTCAAGAGAGACCCAGGAGAATTATTAGAAATCAAATAGACAACACTTTGGTAAATAAAAGATTCCGAAACAGCTTTACATCTGTCAAGACTTACCCTGGAGCATACTTGGAGATAAACTACGTTTTACTAGTAAGAGTATTTCAAGTCAAACTCAAAACAGTACAGAAAAGGAAAGCACGATCATACGACCTACGTATGCTGAAAGACTTTGATACACGGATGAGAGTCCAAACCACGTTAAACGAGCAAGTGACTTCAATTAGAGACGAATCGAACGAAGATCAAACGATCAAAGATATTAAAGAAATAGTGCAAAATGTAAAGTATAAACACTTAAAGACAGATATATTAAGAAGAAAAAATCATGGATGACAGATGAGATCCGGAAACTAATAAACGAGAGAAGAGAAGCCACAAAAGACCCAGACAAATATAAAAGCATAAATATATTAAAAAGAACGAAAATCAGAGAAGCGAAAGAAAAAGAAGCAAGGGAAAGATACAAAGAAATTGAGACTCTGTAGTCAAACAATTTGGAAATTAGTAAACAGTGAAACTGGTAGGCAAAAGAACAGGTCTGATATTATTCTACATTATGATAATAAAATGATTACCAAGTCGTGTGATATTGCTAATTCGTTTGCCTCATATTTTGCTACAATTACAGAATACAATCTTCAAACTCATTTTGGCACATCATTACCTTCTTCTTGTACTACCTCAAAAATGTGTAACAAAACATTTTTCTTTTTACCCGTGACTCCAATTGAAATAAAAAAATACAATCGATCAACCAAAAAATAAGCCTAGTGCTGGTATTGATAACATATCTGTAAAAATAACAAAACTAATAAGTGATCATATATCGATTCCTTTAACCCATTTAGTTAATCTCTCAATAACAGCCAACCAATTTCCATCCATATTTAAAATGGCAAAAGTTCCAATCTTCAAAAAGAATGACCCTCATGATATTTCAAATTACAATTATTACAATTTATTAACTCCAACCCAACACGGCTTAAGATCAAAAAAGTCAACACTCACAGCTACGTGCAGCTTGTTTGAGCGTATTTATGATGAATTAGATAGTAGAAACCATGTGGCAGGACTATTTTTTGATCTATCATGTGCTTTTGACTGCTTAGACATAACATTTATTCGCAATAAATTAAATAAGGTTGGTTTTAGAGGGATATTTCTAGAATGAATAATAAATTTCTTAAGTGACAGGAAAAGTGTTGTTAAGATGAAAGAATCAAGCTCAGAACCATACCCGACAAATAAAGGAGTACCACAGGGATCCATGCTGGGACCATTATTATTCCTAATTTTTATTAATGACCTACCAGATCACATAAGGGCACTTATAATATCAATGTTTGCCTTGCTTACAGCCACATGTGCTATAATGTAATTTTGTGGGGGAACTCAGTAGATAGTAACAAAGTGTTCATTAACCAAAAAAAAAATTATCCGTAAAATTTTTAATTTGGATTATCAACAGTCTTGTAAACTAGTTTTTATTAAACATCAAATTTTAACTTTTTACTGCCTATATATCTATAAATGTTAACTTTATGTCAAAGAGGAAATCAATACATTTCCAGTAAATTCAGACAGTCACTATTACAATACAAAAGTGTTGAATCTTTACGAGTTCCAAAACACAGAACATCCAAATTTCAAAATTGCTTCAGATTTATGGGACTGACCTTATACAATCTTTTGCCAAAAACTGTGAAAGAAATACCAGTTATCTCTAAATTAAAAAAAAAAATTAAAGATTTACTCTTAAGAAAAGCATATTATTCTATAAATGAATATCTTGGAGACAAACTGCAGTAGCTTCATATTTTACTTGTAAAAATGTTATTTTATATATTTTATGTTTTATCAATTTTTTTACACTGTGAATATTGTATTATACACATTAATGTTTTTATACTAAATTCTGTAGTGACGCATCCTATACATTTATTTTAAATGTCTTAAAGGATCAATAAATATGACTATGACTATCACTAAAGTACGTCAGTCACAATTTACATAGAAAAGTTAAAGAAATCACAGGGGACTAAGACGAAGACAGAAAGAAAATATAACTGATTCTAACGGAAACATCATCTTGGATAGAGTAAAATAAGATCATGGAAATAATATCTAGAAAAACTATTTGAACACCAAAGAAATAACACCTTTAAGTTAGAAGAAGAGGTAAATGATGGACCAAGAATATTACCGCAGGAAGTTTATTCCACAATACAGTTAAAGGATGGCAAAGCGGCAACCCCTGATAATATATAAGCAGAACTACTCAAACTAATGGACAACGAATCAATAGTAATAATCAAAAATATTCAATAACATTTACACTCTAGAGAAATACCAACAGAATGGCTGAAGACTGAGATTATTGCACGTCCAAAAAAATCAGGAGCCAAAAATGCAAAGGTTAGCGTATTATAAGCCTCATGAGTCATCTAAAATTGTTCCTAAAGATAATTCATAAGAGAATCTAGATGTGTGAAGTCACACATACAAAGTCAAATTTCCCCCAACCAGTTTGGGTTCAGAAATGCTGTTGGTACTAGAGAGGATTTGTTCTCAGTACAAGTCTTATTCCAGAGATACAGAGACGTCAACTGCGACGTATACGCATGTCTGGTTGATTACGAGAAAGCGTTTGATCGAGTACAGCACGCCAAGATGATGCAAATACTAAAAGAAGCAGGAATTATCAACCAAGATCTGAAAATAATTAAAAATCTTAATTAGAATCAGACAGTAAATCTCAGTGTTGAAGGTGAACATACTGATTATGTGAAAATCATGCGTGGAGTGAGGCAATTTGTCTCGTGCTAGTCTTTAATCTGTACTCTGAAAGAATATTTATCGAAGCTTTGCACGAAACTGAAAAAGGTATTCTACTAAATGGTTAACTTCTAAACATCATATATGCAGATTACACCATAGTATTTGCGGACAACTTAGAAGACCTACAAGTTCTTATGAACAAAATCCCGTATTAAAGTCAACAATATGGACTCAATATAAACGTAAAGAAGACAAAGCTTATAATAATTAGCAAAAAAAGGTAACAGAAGGTCAAACCTACGTCAACCTATCCCCTGTAGAAAGAGTGACGCCCTAAAACTACCTCGTCACTATAATAAATAAAAAATGATGGGGGCCTTCTTTAAGAGTCACAACCTATCTTTTGATACTTCTCTGTCCTTTTTTATGGGGTTGAATCGTAAATCTTAAACGAAGATATGTGCAGAAAACATTGAGGTCCTCAAAAGAATGAATAAGATCAAATCTCGAAAGTTACAATTCTTTGGACATATTATGTTAAATGAATGCAGATATGCTCTCCGTCAAGCCATCCTGCAAGGAAAAATATTTGGAAAACGAGGTCCAGGAAGAATATCTTGGTTAAATAACCTCAGAATCTGATTTAATACAACATCTGTGGAGCTTTGAAAACGTTATGTGATGTAGCCCGAAAGGGTCATCTAAATGATTTTTTGAAATAAAAACAAATAATATTTTACAAATTAAAAATAGTGGTTTATTAATAGCTGTTTTGTATTTCTAAGATCTATTTCTTTTAGTACACCAGCGACGAACTAATTGGACGACCGACAGCACGTCAAGCAGAAGCTGCATCTCGATATGTTCCTGTGTATATGTATCAATTATCCTGGTATAACAAAAGTAAACTTCTTCCAGGTAAATTTTGTTTATATTTTACTGTTTTTTTTTTATTCTCTGGTAATTTAATTCTATAAACAGCATTTTCGGAATAAAATAGACATTATAAAAACAAAACTTTATTCGCAGTTCTTTTCAAATTCAAATTCGAATTACTTTTTAAAACTATGAAAAAAAAAATACAAATAAACTAGCAGTTTCATGATATTGCAAAGAAGAAGAGAATTTTACTTAATTAAATTTAATTTAATTCTTATTTTAACTGTCTTTATCTTATTGAATAGTTAAGCTAGAGGTATTATTAACCCTTAAACGACCGATGTATCCCCTGAGATACGCTCAAATAGATCATTTACCACGCAAATTCTGTGCAGCTTAAAGCGAGCCGGGCAATGTTTACTGGAAGATACATTCATTTTGTATAAGTGAAGTGATAAGCAACATGCGCATGACAAACAAGCTTCTACTCAAGTGTAGATTCGATTTAGTGTAGTTGCAACATGGCGGGCAAGCAGTCTATTGATGAGGTAAGACAAATATTAATTATATTTCTTTGTTCTTTGTGAATTTACTTTATTTTGTCTAAAAACATATTAGTAAGTAATAATGGCAATATAATATAGGTTTACTGTGAAGTGAAAATTTTGTATTCTTCTTATAATATGACACTTGTCTTTTGTATGTATCCTGTAGTTTACATTGTCCATTCAGGTATCTTTTTGCGTGTTGTCAAAAATTATATTGTTTCAATTTGTTGATGCAAATATTAATTCTAAAATTGTTCATGCTCAAGTGCGGATAATCAACCATAAAAAAAATCAAATTTCCTGTAGCTCCTCTTCCAACAGATGATATGTTAGCTTTGACAAGCTTTCCAGGGTTTATTGACAAAGGAAGATGTAAATTGTGTACTAACGGTCAAACTACAGTTTACTGTGAAAACTGTAAAGCACATTTGTGCTTGGTGTTAGGAAAATAAACTAGAAACTGTTTTGGTCTTTATATAGGAAGTGATTTATTGGGCAATATATCTTGTGAGATATACCTCGTAACTTTTTTTCAGTGTATATTTAAAAAAAAAATGTTGTTTTTATGTGTTTCTAAATAAATGAATACCAAACATACATTAAAATCTATTTAATTTGTTCAATTTTGAAAAACCACAGACATGTAATACTGGCATAATTACTGTAATTTATATTATTTATCTTTGTTTATCATTCTAAGACAACAGCCTAATAAGGGTTTTAGTATTTAAGCATTTAATTAACTTTGTATCGAGACCTAAAGATGCTTTGCATATTGTAGAAAGCGAAACCGGTCATCTAGATAGTTAAACTGATTGTAAGTAAGTCTTATTTATTATTTCTTTTACCTATTTAAAATGGACTCACACAAGCAACACATTCATCATTTGTTCAATTTCTTTCCATGGCGTTAAAGGGTTAATTAGTCAACGTTTCTTAATTCAGTAAAATCTCTTGTATACCGCAACAAGATATTGGGGAGGGTGATTTATAAATATAACTTGACCTACTAACTGTATAAAGTGCAAATCAAATACTAATTACTAATATGAAAATCAAAATAATATCGGTTCACCATGTTTTAATAGCTTTCCGTAGAAAGTGTAGAATGAATAACGTAGCAAATCTTATGAACTGTCAACAAATATTACAAATCCAAGTTATCAGAATAAGAGCGACAGTGAATATTAAATCGGCAGGTTTTATTTCCTTCATTATTTAACTCTTCTGTTCAATAATATGAATATTTACATGGTAAACAATTTAAAGATAGCTATATTTTAGGTGTTGAACATGGTGCCGATTTGTACTATATGTGGAATCTATCTTTCGATAGTGAAAGTCACAACGATGCTCTTCGCAAACCCATACTCAAGTGGTGGACTAATTTCATTAAATATCAGTAAGTTTTATTTACAAACTATTTAGGTGAAAACATTTTATTAGACAAAAAATATAATTTAACACGTTGACTGTCATAATATTAAAAAAATCGGTCCTTCGTGCCAACTTTCTATTTTTTTAAACGACCATTTTTATTATCTTAGAAAATTTCTGAGTTTTTTATTAAAAAAAAATTAAATAAGTGATGGATTCAACCATTACTTGATGTAAATTCATTTTATATAACAATAAAACACTGAAAACTTTTGTTTTCAAAACTTCCACAAAATTTATTTTTATATTAATGAAAAAGACAGCAAATATTTGATTTCAGGCAAATAACTCCTAGGTATCTGTTGATACGTATTTCGACCTAAAAGGTCTCATCAGAACAGTTATTCCTAGGTGTTCTCAACGTGGAAAAATCAATATTTTCGGTCTTTTTTAAATTTCCAGTTTTCTCCCGAAGAAGTCACAAAATCGTGACGAAATATTGAGAAATAACAAATAGAGTTTTATGTCCCACAGACCAATTGCAGAGACTACAAATCAATATTTAACGCAGGACGGTAGAAAAATAATTTGAAATATATATATATATATATATATATTATATATATATATATAATATATATATATATATATATATATATATATGTATATATATATATGTATATATATAATATATATATATATATATATATTATATGTATATTATATATATATAATATGTATATTATATATATATATATATATATATATATATATATATATACTTATTGAAGTCTGATATTGAAGTATACCCCCTTTTCTAACTTATGGCACTATGACAAGAAATAATATATAAAAAATACATATAATGCAGAAAAAGATTGAAAGATTAATTTTGGACATAAGTCAAAATAACCGAGTTCCAAATTAAATGTAAAGTGATAACTCGTAAAAAACAAGACGCTGTTGAGACGATCTTGATAGAATGTCAGATAAGCGGTAGAACAAAGAAAGAGTGGAATGATGCCCGAGAAGTAAAGGCAGACCAATCAGACAGATGGAACTGACGATATTAGGAAAATTGCTAAAATCTAGATAGAAAGGACACAACAAAAGGAAGACTGCCGAAAACTTTGAAAAGCACCACATTCATTACGGAAATTTAGGCTCTTTAAATAATTGATAATTAAGGCTGCTTTTATCGGTACACCAAAACCTAGAGATAGTGTTTTCTCTGTTATTTACTGCAAAAATGTCATCGAAATTTGGACACCTTATTCAAAATTATGTTGACTTTATACTGGTAGTTTTACTTTTTTAATTTTTTTGATAGTTCTTTAGAAATACCGAATTATGCAGTTTGAACGTTGTATTATAACCAAACTTGTTACGTCCATCACTTGAAAGAGTTGTTTTTTTCTGTAATCGTTAATTTTTCTTCACCTTTCTGTGTCCAGTAATAATCGAGAAAAGCGTGTTCAAACTTTGAAGAAAATTGCTAAAAAATACTGAAATCTAATAGTGAAACGTGTTACTCATCATTGGCATTTACTTCAGCGTTATCGGCTGCGTTACGTCAAATCTCATGAACGTACGGTCAGATAGTTTGATTTGAAATCATTTTCAAGCTATAACTGCGAAATTGTTTATTTCTTTGTGACAACAAATTATATTTTTCTGATGATAATATTGCTATGTTATTTTAAATTTATTATAAATAAACACCATGGAGAATATATGGAGAATAATGCATTTATTGTCGTTAAACTACCCGTGGACCGGCGCCACTGTACCCTCTGAACCCGTAGTCGGCTGGCGTAAGCAGTGTAGAAAAGTAAGTGATACGCCCATTTCAAATCGCAGTGTGCTTTGACTGCTAAAACAGCCTAAATATAATTTATTAGGCTTACATTTAATTCACATGGTTTCTATTATTTTAGTTATGTATTTATTTTTAATATTAATTTGTTGTTGTCTTTACCTTCATAGTATTTATTTTGTTATTTCTTTTTTCAGAAACCCTACGCCTGTAGAAGATGAAGATGTACAAAATGTCATTTGGCCAGAAGTTAAACCTGGATCGGTGAAGTATTTGGATATTGATTCGGCATTCAAAGTCAAAGAAAACCCTCGACGATATTATACAATTGAATCAATACTGGATCCTTTTATACGGGAACCCCTTATAACATATTAGATAAATACTGTGTATTGGTGGAAAGACAAATAAAATAAATGTAAAAATTTGCTTACAATTAATTAACAAATTGGACTCTGAGACAATCGGAGAGAAGGAAGATAGACGCTACTTAAATGTTTTGTTGGAGAACGAATGTTACGAATTCCTTGGACCGACCGTAGAATAAATAATTCAATTTTAAGAGAGCTAAAAGATTAACCAACGACTCTCTAGTAAAGTCCATCTCCAACAATTAAAATATTTGGGCATGTTATGAGAGCAAACACAGAAAGCATGGAAAGACTCATAATACAAGGAAAGGTAGAAGGCTGAAGATCACGAGGAAGATCCCCAACAAAATGGATAGATCAAATTACAGGAAATGCCAAAGACCTATGCATGAATTAAAAGAAATGACCAGAGACAGAGATCTCTGGAGATGGACAATACACGATATCACGTCGACCATTACACTCCCCCTGGGGGGTCAGGATTGAAGAGAGAATTAACAAAACTGGCACAACTTTAATCTATTAAAATCATAGATAATATAATTCAAGACAGACTGATTGTTGTAATACCATCCCGTTTTCCTAGAGTGCGACAAAGGAAAATTACGACAAAGTAGTTCCTACATATTTTTCTAATTTGCAAAGTTTATGGAGCACGTGACTTAAATGACCAATGAGAAGATCATTTATAGTCGATAAACCCGGTCCATTAAAATAAAAATTTATTAATCTTCTTTTTTTTGTAGACATGACTCTGTCTGTTTTTCAATGTGCCTCCAGTAAGTTGTCATTCTCTCGTTTTAGTGGTCATCCTAATAATTGTCATCCTCGTGGGGAACCGTCTCTTTCCGTTCCATTCTACTCTTCTATTTCTTACCTAGTGCTTGATGTTCTCCACCTTGTATCTACGTCGTATATCTGTACGTCTAGCTCTGTCCCATAGTATTTTACCATCAATTTTTCGAAGTGTATTTATCTCTGCTGTTTCTAAACCTTTTTATCCTCTCTATGCCAGGTCGTGTTTTTGCCAGGTATGGAATTATTAGTCTAATGACTGTTTTTATTATATTGTTTTTTTAGCAACCTGCGGCTCTGTTTCTAAAGCTCTGAAGAGATTAGGAAATGCCGAAATGCTCTATCTCGATGAAGGAAAAATCCGAATCTGCACCTCCACGTAGTAGAAGGGGCAACATCAATGTTGATGGCTAACGCAGATAGGGACCGAGTGATTGCCGGTATAAGCAATCCCCTGCTTACCTACCAACAGCTACGGGCAGATGAGTCCGATAGTTAGTAGGACACTCTTTTGTCCTGGAGCTGGAAACCACTGCATTAAAGGTTCAACAGATCATCCCTAGTCATTCATCATGGCAAATACGCAAAAAAATCAAACCGTTACTGATCATGGAACCCTGAAACCAAGATTCGGCGGGGAAGGAAAAGATCATGTAAAAGACGAGGCCTTCCAGGTCGCTAGCAAGCAGAATCCTCGTTTAGAGGATATACTAATATTTCTCTATTCGCTTCTATTTTGTGCTTTTATTTTCCAGTCCCTCTCCTTCACGTGTTTGAAGGTCTTCCTCAGCTTTACTAATCCAACTAGTTCTGGGTCCACCTCTTCTTTTGGGGCCGAATAATTTTCTGGTTATTACTAGTTTAGGTATTGTGTTTGCTGCTATTCTTTCCACATGTCCCAACCATCTGATTCTTTGTGCCTTGACGAACTTGGTAATGGTAGGTTCTTTGTATAAAGCCATTAATTAATTGTTGGTTCTTCTCTCCCAAAAATCTTCTCGTCTCAAAATATGGGTCTCAATATTTTCCTTTCCATCTTTCCAGAGTATCCTCTTCCTCCTTATTTAATGTCCATGTCTCACCGGCATATGTTACTGTGGGTCGAATTACTGTTTTATACATTCTGAGTTTACCTTGTCTAGAAACGTATTTTGAGTTCAGTAGTGCTCTTAAACTACCTAATTTTTATTCCCTTTTGCTATTCTGGCTTCGAGCTCCCATTTTTCTTTTCCATTTTCATCGAAAACTAGACCCAGGTATTCAAATTTGTCCACCCTTTTAAAACTATAGCTTCTACCACTTACTGACCTCACACTAAAATGTTCTTTTTTCCCTTCTGTCCCTCCCATGATCATATATTTGGTTTTGTCTTCATTTAATTCTAGTCCAAATTTCTGTGCTTCTTCGATGATTTTCTTCACAACTCTTCTTAATTTTTTCTCGGTTCTTGCTAGGATGGTTAGATCGTTAGCAAATGCCAAGCACTGATACTCATTTTTCATGATTGTTTCTTCAACCTTCATGCTGCATTTTCTGATTACAGTTTCTAACACTTAGTTGAATAATGTAGTGGATAAAGGATCTCCCTCTCTCAAGCCTTTAGTAACCGTAAATTGATCTGATATGTGACCCTGTCAAGTAATTTCACACGTAGAGTTATTAAGTGTCATTTTAACTAGCCGGATTACTTTCTTTGGTATACCCAAATGTTCCATTGCTCGACACATTTTGACTCTATCGACCCCATCATATGCTTGTTTAAAATCCACAAACAAAACATGCAGAGGAACTTTACCTTCATAACAAGACGTTTGTATTTCTTTAATGAGAAGATGTTCTGGTGTCTAAAGCCTGACAGGATTCTTTCCGTATAGCAATTTAGTTTATTTCTCAATATTCTTGCCAAGATTTTGTATACCGTGTCTAATAAGGCTATACCTCTATAGTTGTCACACTTCAGTTGTCTTTTTTATGCAGAGACATGCGCCTCATACCACTCCGATGACATTACTTTCTTTTCGCATACTTGCACTAGTAGCTGATACATTTTTCTTTGTAGTTGTTCTCCACCAAACTTGATCATTTCTATGCATACGTCATTTTTCCAGGACTTCTGTTAGTTTTCATTTCTTGTGTTGTCATCACCTCCTCCTCTGTAGGCTGCCTTTCAACTATCACATCTTCTCCAACTGTCCAATTTCTTATACTTTGGAAAATACAAAAATATTTTGATAAATGTGATTTTTGGGAAGTGCTTGTGTACTAAATTCGCCTGTACTGTAAATAAAATCGCGTACTAAATAATGTTTATTATTTTGATGCCTCTGTTTATTTATCTCAGATTGATGTGCATGCCAATTGCGGTTCAACAAGGCACCCAATAGTTCAGGTATTTATATGTGCCAACTTTATAGTTGGTTTATATCTTTGATTACAATTATTGATAATAGTGTAACCTTCACAGGTGTTTGCACTTGGAAGGTACAATAGTCACAATAGATAGGTAATACAATGCATAAATCATTTTAAAACTATTTACAGTTTATTGATGAGTATTGCTCTCGGCTATTTGGTGTGATTTGCATATCAGATCTATTGTGGAATTTCAAGAAACTATTAAATATTAAAAATAATACAATCTCGTCTTATTTGCTTATCTCAATTTCAGTTTTTCTCCACAAAAATTTGAAAAACAGATATAAAAGCGTTCATTTGTTATATATTTTTTCTGTCACTGCTGTATGTACAACCACGTAATGGCGCATCTAAAACTGTTTAGTCTTTTGTACTTATATTTTTTGTCCATGACGGGAGTGAGTATAAATTTTATCTTTTTTTACTAGATATATTGTTTAAAATTTCTTAAAAATCATACAGGAAAATTAATAAACCCAAAAACTTAAATTAAGCAACCATATCGTTGGATACGATTACCATATTAGAGAAAACCATGAGTTATGTCATTAACAGTCATTTTTTAATAATTTAAGGTGTTTAACCCCTAGCGAATTCTTAGTTGTAGTAAATAAAAATATATAATCTTCTTTAAATAACATTTAAAAGGCAACTAGTTTCGAATATTTGCCTTTATAGGGAAAAAATTATTTAGTTTAGAAATAATTTATAAATATAAATACATACTTTTCTTTCTTCATCTTCTTCTTTTTCTCAGCTTGTCCCCTTTTAGAATCGCTGTTTCTTACTCTTCGTTGCAACTTATTTCTGTCCATAGGGTCTTCTTCACTTAAACTCTTTCAAGCCTTAAACTTTCTCTCTCAAGTCCTCTGCCATACACTGCTTTCATTTTCTCCTTGTATTTCCTCTATCTCTTCTTCCGTAAACTCTATACTTTATCCCACATAATTTTTTTATTTCTACGGCTATGGCTGACATGATCAAACCATTGCAGTAATTGTTCTTGAATTTTTTTTTGAGACTGCAGTCACCCCGGCTCTTTTTCTAATCAAGTCGTTTCTGATGCTGTCCCTTATAGTCTTATATAGCTACCTCCGTCTTCTTTTCCTGGATCTTCTTTAAAGGCCACACTTTAGCGCCGTACAAAAATGCAGGTCATAGCACACTCTTGTATATTTTTCCTTGTACGCTTCCAGTTAAAGCAACCAGCCTATATCCCATAGGCAATTTCTCGCATATAGCATCTCATTTTCCGTTATGTTGAAGACAACGTTTGTACGTTTCCTTACTCGCCCTAGCTTTTCTTGAAGCAATTCTAAATCCTCAACCATTCCTCTCCCTCACAACCACATATACCGATCATTTGTGCATTTTCGACCAGATAAACTTAAGTCTTCCTCGTTAATAGCCCTTCTCCAACACTCCACAGACCAAGGAGCCCACTCCCTTACTTTTCTGTCAGTACCTCCATAAAAATATTACATAGGTAAGGACTCAGTGAAGAGCCTTGATGCAAACCAACCGTTACTGGGAAACTTTTGGTCAATCCGACAGCAGTCCTTATTTTGGTGTACGCTTCCTTATACATATCCTTCACGAGCCTTACGTACTACTCAGGAACTCATTTCTCTCTTATACATCTCCGGAGCTCTTGTCTAGATACTGTGTCTTGATCGTACGCCTTTTCAAGATCTATAAATATCAATGTAGCTCTCTTTTCTGCTTGTTCTCTCTTCTCGTTTTTTTATTAACTGCAAACAAGGCATCCGTTGCCCCAGCGTAAACTTAAACTGTTCTTTTCCTACCGATGTCTCTCTCCTAAACCTTTACAGTTCTCTCTCTAAATTTTTATTGTATGCGACACTAACTTTATCTCTCTATAGTTCTTACAGTCCCGAACATCTCTTGTATCTTTATACAATGATACTATCACACTCTCTCTCCATGTATTAGGCATCATTTCTTCCTCATATATCCTACTCATCATTTTGCCACAAAATATGAACCCCTTCCTCTATTAGAGCCTTCCAAACCTCCACAGATATTTCATCAGGTCCTACCTCCTTAGCGTTCTTCATCCTATTTAACGCCTCGATAACTAGATCTCTCGCTATCCCCGGTGTTACATTTCCATTTATCCCCTGGTGTTCTTTATTAAGCAACTTACAAAAGTACTCATATTACCTTTACTTTATTTCAACATCGGTTAACAAACAATCTTCCATCCGCTCTCTTGATCTGCCGCACGTGGGTTCAGTCCTCTGATGACTTGTCTCTTGCGTTAGCAATGCTGTATAACCTTTACATCCCCTCGGGTGTTTATAACTCTTCATACAGAAGTGCACACGATCATCATTAGCAGTAGCTACAGCGCGCTTTGCTTCTATCTTTGCCATCCTGGATATACTCTTATCTTCCTTTCTTTCAAACCTGTCACACTCTTTCTAGCCTCATTCTTCTTTCTAACCTTCTGTTGCACCTTATCGTTCCACTATCAAATTCTTTGCCTCTAGGAGGCCTGTTACCGTATCTTTTTCCTTAAGCACTTCCAGCACACTACTTTTAAAGACTATTGCCAAATCCTTATCCATTAACTTTCACCACCTTACTTTCTAATATCTTACTTTGCTTTTCTTTCCGCCTCACCTTTATTTCCGTATCCACAATCACCGGTCGATGTTGACTAGCTACACACTCACCTTTTATCACTTTACAGTTGGCAACTTCTTCTAGCTGACTTCTTTTACACAGCACAAAATCTATCTGACTTTCTCTTCTGCCGCTACTATATGTTACATACTGGTCTTCAGTCATCATAAAGAACGTATTAATGGAAGCCAAATTTCATGTCACCGCAAAGCTAGTCAAATTATTTCCTTCATCTTTGTTTATTCCCATCCCCAAACCTCCATAAACTCTTTCTGTACCAATGTTTATATCCATTTAAATCACCACCTGCAATTTGTACAAAACCATTTTATTCAAATTTATTATATCAAGCAAATAGTCCGAAAATGTATATGATAAAAAATTTTGAGTACAACCTGAATCTAAAACAAAAATTTTCTTATTAAAATCTGATAATGTACCATAGCTCATTGCAGGGTATACTGTCTCTTCATTTTGCAATATTTCTTCTTCACTATTAACACCACAGGATATTAACTGATTTTTATCAAGTGATGTGATTATTGACTCATTTTCCACATACTAGTATGTTTTTTAGCCATTCCTATTCAAATATTAATCTTACCTATTCGTATGATGATCTAGATCATGGTCTTCTGGTACATCCTGCTAGATAACTAACGAGGCTCTGACGTCCGAGTGTTTGCTGGGATAAGCAATGCACCATTTAGTGACCAATGGCTTAAGGCGGATGAGCTAGTAAGTGGAAGCACACTCTGTTGTGCTGAGACTGACAAATTGGTCTCGAAAGCGGAAGAACCAAGAAAGTGGTCAACGGCATCAGAGTGCAAAAGACAACGAGAAACCACTGCATTAAAGGTCCCTGATGACATTTCTAGTATAAATTATAATGGCTAGAACTATGTGCGTAAGAGACATTATTGATTATGGTAATCGGAGATCAAAATCTGACAGGAGAGGATAACCATCAGAACGAAAGGCCTTCTCAATCGTCAACATGTGAAACCCTTGCACAAAAACCCCAAAAAAAATACTCAACCCTCTCAGATAAAAATAACTACGTAGAATGTAAGAAGTATATATCAGCCTGGAAAACAACATAATGTTATTAAATAAAAAGAGAGGCTAAATATAGATAAACTTGGAGTTAACGATGTACAATGGCCAGGAAAATGGAGATATATCAATAAATAACCACAATATCTATTACACTGGAGGAGACAAAACTGATCATCGATACAGAGTAGCTTTCATCATAAGCAACACTATTCAAGTAGAAAATTAGTGCTAGGTGTGATTCAAATCTCAGAAAGAATAATAATGCTAAAAATTCAAGCACGGAACTGAAATATTAATATGATCCAAGTCTATGCTCCCACAGTTGATAACAGAGCTGATACATTTTAGGAGACTTTACAGTTGAAAATATAGATAGACATTTCGGATTAGGAACTAGAAACGATAGGGGAGAAAGGCTCATAGAATTCTGCCAAGAAAAGAATATGGTAATTGCCAATACTCGGTTTCAGCTTCCTAAGAGAAGACTATATATATGGACGTCTCTTTCACATACAGAAAAACCAAATTGTCATAAACCAGATAGACTTTATACTCGTAAAAGCAGATATAACAACTCTATAACCTCAGTTAAAACTTATCCTGGAGCAGATGTTAACTCAGACCACAATCCGTTAGTTGCCGACGTGAAAATAAAATTAACAAGAATTGAAGAAGAAAATAACCAAAAATTAATGTAAGAACGCTAAAAAACGAAGAAATAAAAAATGAAATGCTAAGAAAATCTATTTGATGAAACAATGTAAAGAGATAGAAGAACTAGAAACAAAATATGATATATGAAATATGCACAAAAAATAAAAGAAGAAACTGGAATGGGTCAAAATAGACAGCAAGGACACATAAATGATAAAAAAGGAGTACTACTTATCGATTTACCAGAGAAATTAAGACGATGGGAGGAGTACCTTAAATAACTTTTCCAAAATGAAAGAGGTGAAATGCAAAAAATACAAGAATTAAATTCTTTAGAGAGACAGAAAATCACAATAGATGAAATCAAATATGCTATCAACAACTCTTAAAACAATAAGGCAGCTAAATTAGATGAAATACTAGTAAAACTGTTAAAACTAGTGGAAAAGGATAACTTGGATGTAGTGGCAGATTTATTGAACACGGTAGTCGATATGGAAATAATACCACAAGAGTGGCTGAAGTCAGTATTTAGAACCATTCCTAAAAAACAAGTAGCAAAACCTCTTATTATTGAACACTAAGCCCCATGAGTCATACTTTAAAAGTACTGCTGAAAGTAATATATAAGAGAATATACAAAAGGCTAGAGGAGGATATTAGCGAGACGCAGTTCGGGTTCCGAAATAAAATAGATACTCAAGAAGGGCTATTTATCATCAACATATTGACTCAGCGATGTCGGGATGTAAACGTTGATCTACACTTGTGCTTTGTTGACTACGAAAAAGCTTTCGATAAAGTAAAATATGAAAAACTAATATCAATACTTATGAACCAGCGCATTGATCGTAGAATCATAAATTAGTGCAAACATTATATTGGAACCAAGGTGCTATAGTTCAAATTGATGGGCAACACTCAGAAGAAATAAAGATCTGTAGAGGAATTAGACAGGAATGATTCCTGTGACAGAAATCACCACTTTTGTTTCACTTATATTCTGAAGAAATTTTTCAAAACACGTTCAATAATATTAAAGCGGGAGTTACCGGTAAAGGAAAATAATTAACAACTTACGATATGCAGACGACACTGTAATCATAGCAACGAGTATAGAAAATCTACAACATCTTATCGACAGCTTAAGTATGAATAGTGCTGGGATGGGAATTACTGTAAAAGTTAAAAAAACGAAGTACATGCTAATTACAAAAAGACGACAAAATATACATCACCTATTGACAATCAATGGTAAGGTGATAGAACAAGTAGAAAAATATCAGTACTTGGGAACTTTGATCAATGAAACCAATGATCAGACTACAAAAATAAACAGGCGAATAGAGATTGCCAGATCAGCATTTATACGAATGAAGCCACTCCTAACGTGCAAAAATCTAAATTTCGGATCAAACTACGTACCATTCGCTGTTATATATTTTTAATTTTGTGATATGGAGCTGAGACTTGGACATTAAAAAATTGCAATTTAAAAAGAATCAAGGCTTTTGAACTCTGGTTATACCTATCGCAGAGTATTAAAAATATCATGGACTGATAGAATTACAAATAAAGAAGTACTGAAAAGGGTTGGTGAAGAAACAGAACTAATCACAACTATACAAACCAGAAAACTGGAATACCTAGGCTACGTGATAAGGGTACCAAAATATGAAATGTTGAGACTCATAATACAAGGAAAGATTCAAGGCAGAAGATCTGTTTGCCGAAGGCAGAACTCATGTTTAAAGAATCTACGTGATTGGTATCAATGCAGATCGATTAATTTGTTTAGAGCAGCAAGTTCAAAAATAAAAATAGCCATTATGATTGCCAACCTCCGTAGGGAGACGGTACTCTAAGAAGATGATTTTTATTAGCTTAGACGGACTTATCCAGTTTTTCATCTCCTTTGCATTTTAAAGTCAATAGCTTCTTATTTATTGGAAACTTGAATATAGTTTTTCTCTTAAAAACGTCTTTGAGTGCTTTCAACATTTCTTTAGCGGTATTGGCATCTTTTATAATATCTAAATTGTTACCTGTAAAAATTTGTCGAGTCGAAAATTGTCTCTTTCTGTTGGGTCTAAACTTTAAATTATTGGTAATACTTTCTTTTTATTTAATAAACTATTGAAATTTTCTTATGTGAAAAAGGGAAATTCTTGACCTACAAATAACCTTGACGGTAATCACTGTTGCTTGAATTTTAGTCTAGCTATTTATCAAAGAGTCTCCTGGGGCCAGAATTTTTAAATATTTAGATTAGAAATTTAAATCAACTAATTGGTAACTTGTTTTTAATAGAATCAACATGGTACATTTTTATCGCATTGTATGTGTAAACGATTACATTTTTTATTCTAGCTAGTTATTTGAGTTTATGCAGATTAATAGCAGCTTTCATCAATTAATATATGAATTATCTTGGTAATTGTAAACTTAAAGATTATTTTTGTTATTTATAGGTAACTTCGCCTGTAGCTGAATCGACTGACGATGACTTAATCGTAACATTATCTACAGGAAGTAAAGTTCGCGGGCATGTTCTTCAGAGTTTTGAAGGAAAGGATTTCCAAGCATTTGAGGATATTCCATATGCAGAACCTCCGACTGGAAAGAATAGATTTCAGGTAAAATATTACAATGTGCAGTCGGTAAATGTCAATTTTTAAGTTGGAGGTTTTTCTTTTTTTTTTTTTATTGGGAATAACCCGCATCAACCATAGAAGGTTATTAGCGGTGGTAGAGTATAGACTATATTATATTATAATGATTAATATTAATAACATAACATAACTCCGCCGTTTCGTGGTCTTAAGTCCAGGATGAGAAAGGAGGAGAGTTAAGCCAGGGACTAACTATTCCTTCTTGGAAAAAATACATAGTAGTGAAAAACGAAGCACATGCCTTGGATAAGGACGGAAAAGCGACGACAAATGACAATGAATATAGGAATCTGGAACGTATTAAGCCTATATCGGCCTGGAGCCTTAACTCAGATGGTCAAAGAACTTGAATCCAGAAACATCGTCGCTGTGTTATTATTAAATTTGTACTGCTTACTTTGACCTATTGACTGTCAGCAACGAGGCTCTGGCGTTTTGACCAATCCTTTTTATGTTTCGGCAACACGGCTCCCGCATTCTTGACATAAGTCGTTTGATGGGTGCAATATTCTGTCGGCAACAGAATAACTGAATGTTTTTGTAGGTGGCAGTCAAAAAGTTTAATAGTGTTTGTGTTTAGTTTATTGTCTATTGTAGTTTTATTAATATATGGCAAAATGAAAAACTTGGTGGACTGTAAACACTGGCTTTATTTGAAATAACAAAACTCTGTTTTAAACTAAACCACTATCGTCCTTTGTAAAATGAAACTATGTAACAAATTTATTGTTTGTTTTCTGAACTGCGAGCTGCTTGCTTGATGATGTCTCGGTGATGTCTTCTTCTCTTGTCTCTTAGGTGCGCGCACTCCTAGCTGAAGTCACGCACACAGTTGCCGGTTGTAATAAAAATCTAGAATAATTGTTTGCGGCGCAAACAGTTTGTTTAAGTTCATATTTTTATTTTAAAATGTCTGGACGCATCCATAGCATTATAACGAACACATTTAACGAATGTTCAAAGAAAAAATGTCATAAAGGTTATGAAAGATGAAAATAAAAAAGCTGCTCAGGACAATAAAAACATTATTTACGGTAGTTTTGACCTTCAGGCAGGTATGAAAGTACCGTTTGGGGATTGTCAAATTTACTATAAGCGGAAGCTTTCTTTTCTTAATTTTACCATCTTTGATTCGCGTAATCAAGGACACTGTTTTCTATGGGTTGAGACACAAGGAAAAAAGGGAAGTGCCGAAATATCAACCTCTTTATTAAAGTACATTGAATAATTAGATCCAGATATACAACATCTCGTGCTCTACGCAGATACTTGCGGATGGCAAAATCGAAGTACTTTCAAATATGTTTTATGCCGTGAATACCTTTAATTTAGAATTTATTGATATTAAATTTATGGAAAGTGGCCATAGCTACCTGGAGGCCGACAGCATTTACGCCACTATTGAACGATCTCGACATTCAAAAAATATTTACACCACCAATGAATATAAATTATTAATCGAACTTAGCAGGAAACGTCCATTTCCATACAATGTCAATCAGCTAGCGTACGACGACACTTATGACATAGAGGATTTGTCAAACAAGTTAGTGCGAAATAAAAAAAAGCAATTCATGGCAACATATTAAACTGGCTAAAGATTAAATGGATCAAATTTGACAAAAATGTTGACAAAGTTGGCTTCAAATACGAGGACATGCGTGAGGAATTTAATTATATAAAAATTAACCGTGAAGAAATCCAATGGGAAAATATTTCTTTAAAACGGAAATATCACAAACGCTTTGACATTTCAATTGCAAAAAAGGGACTTGTTAAGCCTTCTGAAACATGGCGTAATCCCCCGAGAATATCACTTTTTTATACAACTTTATAGATAGTATTTTTGTGAACATAATATAGTTTTTATTTTACTTTCTTGTATTTAAAAAGGAACCAATTCCCAAAGCATGAGCGAAAATTTTAAATGATTAAATAATGAATCTATAACAATAGAAGTAATCGAATAAAGTTTATTTATAAATCTGCATTAACTTATATACAATAACAAAAACTACATTTAAATAATAACAATGCTTAATTCTAATGTCAGACTAGTGATTCAAATAAGTAAGAGTGAACACTTTATTTTAGATTTTAAAAGTTAGCTGCATAATAATTGCAAACTGACTTAATGAAGTCCAATTTAGTAATGTTTTGATTAACGTAATATTCATTTAGCCTATTTTTAATAATATCAACTTTTCTTGTTGCCGGTTTATCAAGTTTTTTTTTTCGAATCTATGTGCAGTTCTAATTTTCACATATACTTCTGCTTGAAAATTTAACAAAATGTGTGTAAATTTAAATATGTCAGGATGTGATTTATAAAAACATTCGTTAAATTTCGAGTTAAATGATTCACATGCGTTTGTAGTAAATAGAGATGATGAATTTGAAGCCATATGTAAGGTGGAAATGTTGAATCTTCCGTTAAATAATTATCAGCTAGGTAATCACAAAATTGCAAAACTCTGTCATCTTCTGGCATAATATTAAAAAGTTCATCAGAAAAAAAGTCACCAACATCATTTGGATGTAAATAAGGAATGCCGAAAAAACAATTTTAAATATTTTCCAATAACAGTTTGATTTTTATATTGCGAGGACAAACCTAAATTTTGAATTTTTCGGTACCAATTTTGTGTTAAATGAAATTTGCAACAAAAAATAATAATGTCGGGCCACACTAACTTGGCTGCATTTTAAATTGCTATTTCAAAATCAGAAATTATTCGCTTCGGTTTGAAATTTAAATTCAAATCTGTACATATTGTTATTAATGTATCAAAAGTACATTTGTACGATTGCTGTGATTTATTTGGTAACAAACAAAATACTAGAGGAACATAAAAACCATTTTTGTAGCCATGTACAGTAAACATCTGACAGTAGTGAAAAGTTCCATCTACATACAATTACAAAAAGTAAAGATTTGTGAAACAACTAAAAATTGCGGAATTATTTTTCGTAGATAATAAAAAGTTTTCACCTGTATTTGTTTTTAAATTTAAGTTCACTAACACTTGAAGAACTTCCTCCTGTGACTTGGACAATGATGGTGTAGATTTTCGTCTTGTAGCATAGATATTTCTTCGAACGCAAGAAATGTTTTCGTCGTCAGCGGTAAATTGCTGAATTTTTCCTTTCTCAATTCCTTGTGGACAATCTTAAAAGGTTTTTCACATATATCTTCTACAGCTTTTCTCTTTGTAGAATTACTAAAAATTTGCCGGTCTACGTGGATATCTGGAGCATGATTATGCTCCGATGCTTTTTTAAGAATAACATAATTTTCATCACCTTCCTTTGTGTACACTTTTTGTTGACAGCCTTTTTTGATGCATCGCCATCTAACTTTTCCATCTTTGGAGACATGGGCTTTTGAATATTTATATTCATTAATTATTAATAACAGTTCTCCCCTTTGACTAAACACAGTCGTTGGATTCGCCATTTAAATGTTAAACACAAAACTATACCGTAATACTTGCAACCGAAGTAAATAACTGAAAATATTTATATTCTTACTTTCAACTATAATGAAATCTGGAATTTCAGGCTTTCTCGGCGATGGGGCAGTACGTACTTCGGATTAAAGGCCCCAGGTAGTTCGTGGGGCAGTTCGTAGTCGCCCTTTAACTCTACCTGGAAATAATTATAATATAAATAAATGAGTGATATTTGATGAATTCAAAGTAAAAGACCCTAATCAGGGTTTATTTGGGATCAAGGCTTTTTATAGAATACTAAACAAAGTAAGTAAACAATTGTTCCATGTCCAGAGTTGTAAAAGTCGATGTAGTACAAAGGTGATATGTCCATACAAAGTTTGGTAAATCTTTAATTTATTAGACAATCTTTTAGAAATAACTCAAATTATTATTGTAATTATTTTCCTAAGATTGCATTAAGTTAGTAAAATAATTATTAAAACAAAATTATATCTAGCATTTGAGTAATGCAATCCGCAAAATTTTATTTTGCATTTTCAAAAAATAGTACTCTGAGGACATAGTGCAATTGTGTTCTATGGTATCGATATATAATATATGATTGCCAGACAAGAAAATTTAATAATATATTTTAACTTTTTAGCCTCCTATTCCAAAAACACCATGGGAAGGAGTATTGAATGCAACTGTTAGCTCTAAAGTATGCCCACAATTTGGTGTTGATGAAGCTGTAGAGGATTGTCTAGTTTTAAATGTATATAGACCAGTGGTAAGTATCTGTATATATATATTTTTTGTTTTTTACTGATCGAAATGAGTAGTTCGCATAACATAGTTCTACTTAATAAATATTCTGAACCACTGCTTTCATCACCACAATAAAGTCTTGATCATCATTTAAGTACGTTTAAATGATGTTCAAGTAGATGGATTTGATATAAAAATTATTCTAGTGGCTACCAAACAGTACTTTTTATATATTAATAAAAACAATTGAATATATTAATCCAAACAAAAACAAAAAAGGATTACAGAATTGAACCGGATGAAGAGAGCTCGATTGGTAAGTCCATGTAATTAATAACGCGGTTACCGCAGCTTGATGAAAGATGGCTTACATTTCACAATATCTATTTAAAAGCTACAAAAAATAAAAATGAAAGTAAAAGTAGAAGAAGAACTAACCGACCCTATTGAAGCTGGCAATGGATAAAACAGGGAGATTCCCTGAATGCTGTTGTTATTTTCCAATCTCGGTTCTTCTCGTATGTCGTGAAAAAGAATTTTAATATAGTTTTCCCATTCTTTCAGTTTATCTTTCGTTGATTCTAGCAGTTTGCCATCCGTGTTCAGCCTGGTGTGAAAAGTCATTCTCTTGGTAGTCGATGTAAACTCTTTTACCTTTTTATGTAAATTTGAAAAATCGTGCCTTTGTTGCACTTCTTCTATTTCAACGCATTTTGTTTCCAGCCATTTCTCGTTTGCTTCGGTTATGTTTTCTCTTATTAGGAGATATAAAATAATTTTTAAACTCACGAATTTTTAGAGCGGTTATGTATTGTTTCTAGTAATACATCTCCTCCTACTTTCAGTAGTTATGCTATTTGATCCAATCCCTGTGATTTATTGTTTTTCAATTTGGTTACTGCTGTTCTAATCTTGGTTTTTGTTGGTGCCTGGTGGGCACTTTTCTTTGATGTCTGCTTGGTCGAATTGTATATCAAAGTTTTCCTCCAGCCGCCAATATGACATACGTTTTACGTTTTTGCGCACAAATTGGCGCATTTCTTGTACAAGAAACTGCAGCAGACACAAATTCTTGTATCGTTTCTGATATAAGAACTATACGCTTGTATGACACTATCCATTTTTTTGTTATATCAGAAACGATATAAGAAATGGTACAAGAAAATGTATATTGTCATACGGCCTTAAGAAGAATGTTACGGGATACCCAAAATCCTTTTTCACTAAGTGATGCTCAATTTAGGCAGCAATTTTGCCTTAATAAACAAGCTGCAAATTATTTGATGGATATTAGAACCATATTTGGAGGAGGGTGTTTATGCCTCTAGGAGACCCAAAATGTTTAGGCTAAGTATTACTAAGCTGCAGTAAATTTAAAAATATATTAAAATATAACCACTAAGTCAAAAGCCATCATAATTTCTATTTGGTCCACAGACAATTTAGTGCCACCATCACCGACAGCCTCTCCATCCATTTTCCTTCAATTCAAAAAATAATAATTGAGAATGGCCACTAAAAATTTAACAACTCAAACAAGAAACAAAAGGCGTAATGTAAATAAAACTAACATTTAACAAGCGTTGTGCAACGTGCAGCCAATAAACAAGACGGCCAACGGCCAACCCAAATTCTGAGCAGTGTCAAAATGATAAAGTAAATGTCCCCACTTTTAACTAAAATCGAAATGAATGAGAATCTCTAGTGATTGCGACTGGCATGGCGTAGTCGCTATTAAATTTCGACATCGAATCATCGAAATAACCCATGTTAGAAATAACGAAGTTAAAGAAGTGGAATCAGATTTTGACGACCTTTTAAAAGAAGTGTTAAATGACCACCTTTGGCTGTTTAAAAATATTGAGCTTTCACCAGATTGGAGTTTATCGAAATACCGAAACTTTGATACCATTACATATTGGATAAAGTTTAAAAAACGATGTGTTCCGGCTATTTTGTTTAATTGTATAATAATATCATGAGAGAAAATTTTGCCGACAATATTTTAGACTAGTATGAAAGCTTGTTGCCTAACAATTTTAGCGAATTAAATTTTGACAGTTAAATCACGAGACGTCAGTCGAGCGATTTTGTCAAAAATTCATAAGGTGAAATATGTCAAAAGACGACAAACTTGAATAGAACCAGAAGAAAATTTTGCCGGTAAATAATTTTTTCTCGAATAATATTCGACAAGACTATTTCCCGAGGTAATTAATGCACCATATCAACAAAACATAATCTTTATTTATTTGTTTGTCCATTCTTTTCTACCAAAGTATCATTTTGTGTATTATTGACCTGTAGCATTTGGGAACTCGAAGGTCCAGCTTCATTTGTTGTTCTGATTTTTTCGATCAACTTCTGATGGTGACTGGAATCCAGCTGCAGATATGGTTTAAGTGAGCTTGCATTTGATTGGCTCGTTAATTTAATTAACTCCTGTTCAGAAACACCTTGCTTGAACAAGGCTGACACATCTGAAGATCGATGAGAATGGTTTTTTTTTTATGTTTTTTGTGTCTATTCCAACTTTTTCAGCTCACCTTTTTGTCCACTTAGATACGGTGTTGATTCCAAGTGGACAGTTTTTGAGCCAAAATCCATCCTTCCAGTTGGATTGAACAGTAAGAAAGAGTCTGTCTGATAAAATCTTTGGTCCCCGATTTCCATTAATTTCAAAAATAATCTAACTTTTAGTAAATTTTCATTTGATGAATTTCTTACTAGCCATTTCTTGTTTGCCAAACTTTTCGAACCGCGCTGTGAAAATTGAATCTTGCAGTTTACGGCTTATTGCTTCTGGTCGTAGCTTTGGATCATTTTTAATAGTTCTTTGGTGAATTGTGTCAAACTGCGTTTGAACTGAGTTTTCCTTTTTCTTGAACATTTTGAAGCTGCCTCCGCTTGGTATCTCTGGCTAATCTTGCACATTTGAAAGATATATCTGTAAAAGGGTCAATTTTTATGAAGTACTTCATAAATTATTTTCTTGTACCATTTGTGCTGTTATAGTCTTCGTTATTGCCTTTTTTCATGTTAAAGGCATAATCTTCGATAATTTTTGCTAGTTCCGTTATGATAGTACATCTTTCAAGAGTAAAATTTCTCACTCGTAGGAACTCTGATAATTAGGACCCAATAGAGTCCAAACAGGATCCAGCTTCTGGACCTCTACATGTTCAATAGGACATTTTCGGAAACCAATTTTTTGATTTCTTCACCTGACTGGCATCCAAATCTTGATTTTTCATCTGGATTTATTATATAACTCTGCCGTTATATAATCGGCAGAGTTATATTACATATATTATATTTCATATATCTACAACTCGGCAGAGTTGTAAATAATGTACGATACGCCGACGACACGGTCCTAATTGCAGAGAGCGCACAGGATCTCCAGACACTCTGAGATCGCGTCAGATCGATCGGAGAACAATACGGCCTCAGCATTAACGTCAAGAAAACAAAAACAATGATTGTCTCCAAAACATCCATCCATCCACCCATGGCTTTAAACGTGAATGGTAACATTATCGAAAATGTCGAGAAATTTCGATATCTAGGGTGCTGGATAACGAAAGATATAGATCCAGACATAGAAATAAAATCGCGAATTGAACAAGCAAGAAATGTCTTTTTAAAAATGAAACAAATGTTTACGTCCCAAACACTCAATCTCAAAATCCGATACCGAATGCTGAAATGTTACGTTTACAGCACCTTACTATATGGAATGGAGGCCTGGACCTTCAAAATCAACTCACTCAGGCGTTTCGAAAGTTTTGAAATGTGGTTATTTCGAAGGATGCTGAAAGTCCCCTGGACAGCGCATATGAGCAACGAGCAGGTCCTACACAAGATGGGTACCGACAGAGAACTCTTAAAAATAATGAAAACACGGAAAACCTCATATTTGGGACACATATACAAAAATGAGAAATACCAGCTACTGCAGCTTCTTATAGAGGGGAAGGTAGAAGGAAAACGTGGTCCTGGTAGACGGTAGGCGTCCTGGTTGAAGAACATTCGTGAGTGGACTGGTTTGGATTCTCAATCTTTAATAAGAAAAGCCAGGGACAGAAATGATTTTGCTGAGGTTATCGCCAACCTTCATTGAAGACGGCACCCAAAGAAGAAGATTTATTATATTTATCCAAAATTGATTAGGTCTTAATGACGTTTGTTGAACTGACAACAACAGAATTACCAGACACCTTCGTGATGGATCTGTCATAATTTTGTCGCTGAGAAATCATGAACAGGAAGAAGTTTTGTCAGTAGAAAACGTGGCGTTGCTATGACGTTATATCAGTTAAAAATAGTATAGTAAAATAGTCTTTAAAATAAACAAGTTGACAGGGGAGGGGGTAACATTTTGTACTTTTACTGTATAAAGTTTTTTTTTATGTTTGTAGTTATAATATATAACTATAACCTTAATATATTAAGAATATATCCAGAATATTTTTTAGAACGCTGCTGATCAAGAGCTATTACCCGTATTTTTCTGGATTCACGGAGGAGGTTTTACTAGTGGAGCTGGTAGTTATTACGATCCTAAATTATTGATTGATTATGATATTGTAATTGTAACAATTAACTATAGGCTAGGAGCTTTAGGTAAGCATTAGGGCATAATAAATTATTAACCAAATTATTCACAATATTAGAACTATTTAAGGGGGAATTGTAGGGAAATTTAGTGTCAAGAATTTTCCTTTTATTAAGCTAACTTGTTTGGTAGAAGGGTCTATCGTAGTTAATGTAAAATTATATTATTTAATATTTTTATTGTGAATTGACATTCATTTTATTTTAAAATACATTTATTTTGCCCTTTCGATTTCCACTGTGTAAATGGATTTTAAAATGTCGAAGTGAAAATCAAAACATCAAAATAAATGCATTTTAAACTAAAAATATGTTAAAATTCCACAAGAACATAGTTACAGTAAAATTGTAAGTAAAGAAAGGGTAAATGAAGGCTCTTCACTTGTTTTGAAAAACATTTTCATTAGTTAAGAGCTCAGTAGCAACTATAGGCGATTCACGACTGTTTCCTAAATCACCAAAATGCATTTTAAACTTTAACTTTTGAAGTGTACTAGCATGTTGATATAATTTTTGAGCATTCTTTAAGAAATTGATTAAAATTCGCATCATCGCTGCTTGACTTAATTGTTTTTTCATATTTATAAATTTTATGTTAATATTAATATTGATCAATAATTTTAAATTTAAGTTGTCCTAGACATTGACTGAGTTTTAATACAATTCATGTTAAATTTTTTTTATTGCAGGATTTTTGACAACCCTCGATGATAATATTCCCGGAAACTTGGGTCTTAAGGATCAACTTCTTGCTCTTCAGTGGGTACACGAGAATATTAAGGCCTTTGGAGGTGATCCCAAACAAGTTACAGTGGGTGGTGAAAGTGCTGGAAGCATGTCTTCCGGATTTCTTTTGCTTAGCAGATTGGCCCATGGTATGTACATCATTATCTACTGCATACATGAGCATCCTTCTGTATTATAGCTTAAGACTTACAAAGTATGTTCAAACACTAGCGTAACTTGCTAATATTTTGATTTTTAAAGAAAATTTGTTAATAAAACTGTTTTTGAATGAACTAGTTAATCTAAATAAGCAACTTAGGAATATAAAGGATGCCGCATTACTACAAAATGAATTGAAGATTTTTTTTAATGAAATACCTCGTATTTTTTCATTATTTTATATATAAAATTAAACTCTTAAACGGGACTTTATTGGTGTCAATTATTCTTACGTCTGGCAAACCTTGCGCGTCCGCTGCCTCTTCATCTCTCCTTCGGCTCGAGGAGATAAGAATACGGCCGTGGCCAGAAGACCCTGCCTGTCGTAAGAGGCGACTAATGGGCGGATATGAGAGGTGGAGAGCCGTCGTTTGAGGTGTCGGGTTGGTAGAAACGCACAGAGATGCTTAGTCATCTCAGTCACCGGTCTACATTCCTATTATCCGAGACGAGCGCCTCGTGGGACCACTCTACTCTCATTTTCCACAAGAGCCGGGTGTGGTTGAACGAGCCAGGTACGGAGGCTACCTCGGAAGCTGACACCGCGGAAGAGGGAGCGGGTGACCCGGCACGTACCACACCTCGGAATGATCTAAGAGTGGTAGAGGAGCGATTCCTCGGCAGCGACCTGTCTACGTGCGAGGTGGTATTACACCACCTGCGTGTCTTTCCGCCTCCGGGGGGAGGACTCACGGAAGGGTGGCGTGACCCACAACACAGGTACTACGGGGGAGGTGGAGCCCCACGATGTTTCGGCATCGTGCCACCTCCAATTGGTGTCGGACTCGTAGGGGCAGTGGAAGCGCTAAAGGTCGTATGCCAAAAGGCCAGGTAGACCGGGGTCCTGCCAATTAATTTTGGAGGGCACAAAGCAATGCAATGCCTCTTCATCTTTCCACCTTTTCTATGGTCTTCCTTTTGGTCTTGCGCCCTACACTTTACTATCTAGGGCTCTTTTTTCAATTTTTTGGTTTCCATTCTCACTATATGACCAGCCCATCGAAGTCTTTGAAGTTTAACGAATTCTGAGATCGGTGCCTCTTTGAACAGTTGGTAAAGTTTATGGTTGTACCTGGATCTCCATACTTAGTTTTCATTAATGGGTTAAAATATCTTTCTTAGGACTTTTCTTATAACTGCTGCACTAAAAAGTTTGATAGTAGTTATTCCATTTTCGTAGGTTATGCAACCATGTTATTCTTTTTCACCTTGGACCTCTTTTTCCATGCACGTTACCTTAAAGTATGGTCCGAAGTAGGTGGTAACGGTATTCATTATGTATTATATGGCCCATGTATTGCCAGATATTGTCATGGCTAGTGCTCGATCTTTACGCATCCTGTGCATAACTTCTTCGTTTGTGACTTATCAAGCATATCGTCAACATCCACATTTCAAATGCTTCAAATCTTCAGATCAAAATCTTTATATTTGTTGCGAAATCAGGTAATTACTGCAATAAGAAATGTTGTTGGTAACATATTTTATTATATTTGGCTTTAGCAGGATGGTGTGTCACCACACTTTATCGATGAAATTCCTTAAATGAAATTTACCAATACAAGTGGACAGAAAGAAGGACAGTTAAGTAGACAGAAATATCCCTCGATTTATAACCATTAGACTTTTTTATGGGCATGTCTTAAAGTGCCATATATAAATCAAAATTTGATCATTTGTATGATCTTAGAGCCATTGCGCAATATTATGTTAGGATTTGTGGTAGATTTGGATAGAATACAAGAGTCACTTTCCACTTCTAATTTAATAAAGTTATTTCGTTAAAGGGATGTATTTGTTATTTATTTTTTTGTATTGTTAATTATTTATGTGGTTTAAGCTACACCATTTTAAACAAATATACTTTCACTTAATTTAGTATTAATTATCACAGACCATTTTTTTTAATGAAAAAGTCTTTTAAATTTAATAGGTGTCCTATAGTAAATGGGATGTGCTGATCACGAATCTTTACTTAGTTTTTCTCCAGCACGTTAGGTTTTCAAGAAAAGTGTATTAGAATTTTTTTATAGAAACTGACAAAAATACTGAAAAAATATTTATTGAAACTCTATTTAATACAAAATTACACTGCAAAATTGAGTGCTTAAAAAAAGAATTGAATAAAAGAGAAAGAAATCAAGAATCCTGCGTTTTGTGGTCTGGTCTTCTTTTTGCAGATTTTTGTGATCGAGCCTCTCTTCCAGGTCCAAGCCATCATTCTTATATCTAATCTTTCTTGTTACTTTCAGCTCCAAAATTTTCAGGAATATAGTCAACGTGGAAATCCAGAAAATGAAGTTTAAAGCTTATATTGCGTCCCAGTTTTTTATAATGTTCGAACATGTTGGCTAAAATTTCTTTATAGTTTGGAGACTAGTTGTTTCCAAGGAAAAATGTCTATTACTTCTACGAAAGAACTCCATGCTTCAGATTTATCCTAGGTGATTGTATTGTGGAACAATCTGTTTGATTTTAAGATTCGAATTTGAGGGCCTACAAAAATTCCTTCTTTAATTTTAGCTTCATAAAGAGCAGGAAATTTGCCGCACAGATATTTAAAGCAGTCACCTTATTTATCTAAAGCTTTGAAAAACTGCTTTATCAATCCTAACTTTATGTGAAGAGGAGGAAAAAAAAACAAATTTTAGGTCAACTAGTGTATCACGTTGCACATTTTTTTGTCCCGGTATAATTATTTCTTTAAGTGGCCACTATTTCACTCATTCGTTCATTAACGTAATGTAAATTTAGTGTTTGATTGTTCCACTCGCACAAAAAAGATGGATACTTTGTGAATCCAGACTGCTGACCCAGAAGCATGGAGTTTTGGAGATCCCCACAGAGTTGCCAACAATATTCGCTTTACTTTATTTTATTTAGCAACAGCTCAAGATTCTTATATGTTTCTTTGAGATGCAAGGCGTGAACACCAGGCACTGAGCCATTAGTATTACCCTTCAGACAAGATACCCTTCAGACTTCTCTTAGAAGAATCAATAAATAACCGCCATGATGTGGAGTCGTAATTGTCAGTAATACGAAATATCAATAAGGTATTGGTTTGTGCTAGTACATAATATCTCACAAGATTTTTTTTAATTTTGTGAAAAATTTTGACATGGTGGACTTAAACCGAATACATATTCAGAATCAGCTTACCCGTATTAGCTAAGGACACATCTCAAACCAAAAATCATGTCGGCCTGTGTTATTTATTAAAAAACAAACAACAATCTAAATATTATCAAGTTTGTTACATTACTTTTGTACACACTGTATATATTCAGGGATATATTATTAAATTTAATAATACAATTTTTTATGTTATCAATTTTTTGCTTCTAGGTTTATATAGTGGAATCATCCAACAAAGTGGCTCGCCATTAAGTTCGGCTTTCTTTCCATCAAATAATCGTGATCATGCGTTTGAGTTTGGAAAAAGAATAAATAGTTCCTTTACTTCTAGTAAATCAAGTGATTTATTGAAACTGTTACAGGAGGCATCAGTATCAGATATACTGATGCAGCAGGCAAGTACTACACTTTATTATTGTTTTTATATATATTTATTAGAATTGTTTATCCAGAAACGATTTAAGGAATAGTCGTTAGGTCAAAATTCAACATATCAAATTTGTTTTCACTTCTCGGATACATGAAAATTATCATATTATATTAGTCATTTTTATAGACGTCTGTCTCTGATCAACAATATTGGACAATATTGTTAATCAGATTATAACAATATTGGATTGTTATTTTTATATAATCCACCTTACCTTTATATACTTCTGTGGCTATTCTATATTTTATTTGTTTGTTCTTTTTATTGGTTTTAAGGTTTCAAGGCTTGCAAAGCGATTATCAGCAGTGTGTATGAATTGAGTCAACAATTTGATTGTCAGCGCCTCCATCGACTGGGTTACAATTTTTTTTATTAATGTTAAAAACGGAGTACCTACATTGTTTTCCTATACTTTAACCTTCTATGAACGTCTTTATTCATTGGAAATTCTTGTATGGCCAACACTTACAGTTTAGGACTGATACAATCTTAAACATGCCCTTATAAAGTTCAAACCAAACTTCTTTCAGTGCGTCATTAATTTTGTCGTCATATGTGATTTTAATCCTGAAAGATCACACCGATTTTTTTTAACATATACCGCACATATGGGTATCAGATACCAATGATTTTTTGTGAAGAAACAAAAAATCTGTATATAAATAGACTGTCTAATCAGTATTGAATACACAAGAATAATTAAATTAATCATTTTATTGTCTTTCTCTTAATTGTAGTAATACAAAAGAAAAAAATACTAAAATTATTAAAAAAAAAAATAACAAACATTTCCTAAAAATCCAGAAACATAGTTCAAAATATTTTACTTTAATTTAACAACAAAATGGTCTTTCTAACTAAAAGCTACCAATTCTTTATTATAGAACTCATATTTATTCTTAGCCAGGTATTTTAATTTCACTCATTTTGGTGACTACATTAACAACACAGTTTAGCTCTATGCTCCATGCAGTATGCTTTATGGCAAGCCTAGCATGCATGCTTCGTTTTTCTATCTTTCCCTTTGCAAAAATATCACTTAGTTTGCTTTACTAAACTTGTGGGATGTTGTGTTGGAAGGTCTTCAACTTGAAGAATGCCACACATTGTTTGCCTGAGTGATTTCTGTAAAGAAGATATTTAGAGTCTCTCCCGCATTAGCGGTTCAATTAAAGCCATTCCCAAAGACTTCAGAAATGATCTTCTATTATTAGATGAATTTTCTTTCCAATGGGGATTTGCGAGAGAAAATAGCACCATTGCATTTATACCACTTGCATCAAGCAAGTCTTGATTTAGGGATTAGCCATAAGGGGCGTAGCAAGACTGGCTTAACAATACTTTTGTGCTATTTCTGGAGTTAACGTACTTCTTTTATTTTTTAATGTTTTTATTGATTTTGCTAATTATTCTAGGGTATTCTATTTTTTCTGTCAAAAACGTCTCATAAATATATATTTAACTATATTACTATAGTTAGAGATGCACAACGATTTCGATTTTTTCCTTATTTAAAGTCAATGGAGCTAACGACAAATCAATACTACTCTGTTATGTCAGAAGTTTCATAATTCTTAAATAATGTTAAAGAATATTCGATCAACAACGCAACACAATATTTAAGCAACCACTTGCATATTTTTTAGGCAGCTACTCCATGTATTCCAGTTATGGAAGAAGAATTCAACGATAAAGCTGTTGTTAGTGGACCAATGCACAGTGCCATTCTCAATGGTGAATTCAACTTTGTTCCTGTCTTTATAGGAATTAATTCTGAGGAAGCTTTGTTGTTTGTTGGTAAGTTGTTACAATTGTTTAGATACATGATACATTCTTAGTATTTCAATAAACGTTTATTTTCAATAAACGATAGGACCTTGGACCTCCTGCATGCAGTGATATAGCCGAAGCAATATTTTCAACTTTTCACTTTACTTGCTTGGCCAACTTTAATTTACGAAGTTGCCCTTCTGTAAATATTTTTTCAATTTTATTCTTTTCTACCCTTTCTTTGTGAAGTAATTGTTTTAAAAGTTTATTTTCAGTTTCGAGAATTTTAATGTATTCAGCTGGATCATTTTCACTAAAATGAAAAATTGTTTAAATACATTTAATATTTTATTACTCCATTTACTACATTAACGTTTGAGTGGAAACAGTTCGTTTATTTTAGGAATGTTCTCTTTGTCTCCTTCATTTCGATTGTCGGATTGTATAATGTACTTCCGATTATGTTTCTGCATCGAGTGATGGACCCATCAAGTTAAGGAATTCCTAATTCTGCCTTTTTTCTACTCGTAAACATCGTTTTTGTTCAGGAAAAGTCTGCGCTCTTGATAATTTTATTAAATAACTGTAAGTATTGCATCATGTTTTAATTTCCACTTATTCTGAGGCAAAACCAACATTTTTTCTTTCATACAGAAATCGCTTTCCACAAAATGGTACGAACATATTCTTGCAGTGTTTACATTAAACTTATGCTGCTGATAGCACTTCACAAACCATTGTTCGCGAACTTGTTTCTCTTTTTGGAAATCTAAAGAAACGACAATCTGAAATAACTTATTTTTTTATTGTTGTTGCTGGAACGACCCACCACTACACAGAATACCATAATTAAAAGTTTAATTTAATATTCTTAAATATATTTTATCTAAAAGTGCACACATTTATTTGTCAACGTACTAGATAAATCATAAAACAATACTAAATATAACAAAACAGAACATTTCTGGTGATATTTGTTACCAAGTTACGTCACACGTGCAAAAGAGATAGACTGGTCGCGTGCGCGTGGGTTTATCTTTAGAAGTTCATACAGCCGTATTCACCAAACATTCCTAAACCATCACCTAATTAGGTATTGCTTAACGTTAGGCAATACCTAGTACATTATTTGATATTCACCAACAAAAGCGTTGCTTAACTAGGAAACACTTTGTTAGGAAGTAGTAAATCTGGCAACATTATATATTTCGTGCGTAATGCCAACAGAATTTCGGAGAATAACGAAAAACCTAACTAAATTATGGTAAAAGGTGGCCAAATACCTTACTTCTGGCAGGAAAAGAAGAAATTATTTGTAGTTTCTAACCGCAAATAAAAAAATTTTCAATTTGTTGTAAAATCAACAATGCTGTAGTTTTTTTAATTCTAAAACGTCAAAAAAATCCAGATTATCGTATTATTCAAATAAATTTTTTCGCCGTTTTAGAATTCGCGGACGTCTTGCATCCTCAGAATTATCATCCAAATTGTCCAACATTTCTAACAATTCAATTGCTTCCATAATAAAATAAAAAACAATGATTATACTGTATAATTGAATTATAATAATTTATACACCACACAAAAAACTTTTAGGTTACCTATATGAATAACTGTCAATTAGTTGGTAAAGAAACGCCTAAACTGTTAGGAAGTGAAATATCGGTTGCCTAAATGTTAGGAAATTCTTAACGGTATAAGAGATTCTTAAGGGTTGGTGAATACCACATTAGTATTAGGTGATACTTATCCTCTCTTAGGAAACGCTTAAATTTTAAAAATTGTTGGTGAATACGGCTGATAGTATCATATCAACCGCTATATATTTCCTTTTAAATAGTATGTTACCTGGCGAGCCCTAGTGCAAATATTTCAGCAAAGAAATAATGAAATGAGTCATACACATGATATCGTAAGTTATTGTATAATTTAGCTGTACTTATGAGTTTTACTAAGGGACGTATCAGTAGCGGAGAATTTATTTTTTATTTACCGTATGACATATTAAGACATTAACACATAATTAAAAGCAATATTTTTTATAAAAAACGTTAAATGTAGTATTACAAACGAACATCTTATATATCAATATAATCTTCTAAACATTTTCGGTCTCCTTTATCAACTCCATCTTCTTAGTTTATCTTGCTGTTCTGTCAATATATTACCCTCCTTATCCCTTTTCTTCTTTCGTTTGAATTATTTTTTGCTTTTTTTCAGTTTCTGGTAAAATTTTTGTCATTGGCTTACTTAGATCTTGTAGTTCTTGAAATTCTTTGGTCATAGCAATTCTTTTCTTTCTGCGGTGGATTTTCTTTTCTTCCTTGTGTATTATTTATATACCTCCTCTGCTTGTCGGGTTTTGTTACTTGTGTCTTTATTTTGCTGTGTAAACACATTTCGACATAATATCAGAACATTGAGTAATTTCGTTATTAAAGAGATTTCTCGGTTATTTGACACTAAAGAGAATTAAATTTTTCGGACATAAACTTCAAATCTAAATAATCGCGTTTTGTTCTGTTTACTGACGTAAACGCAATACGTAAAATTAATTTCTGGGAGTATTGTATTGGTAACAATATAATTCATGTCATGCATGACTCAATGTATAACTTTTTTCAAATAAATACGTTTTGACATGTTTTTAAAAGATAATATGTACATACAAACCAATCAAGAATCTGCGGTTGCTAACACTGTTTCTATTGACAAACTAAATAATTGAATATCGTTTAGAAATAAAAAGAATATACTTATCGACTTCTTCACATCCACTTAGTCTACACATTATTAATTTGAACGAAAACTTATTTTATAAACTAGATCTAATGTACTTTTTTATTATTATCATCAGAAATTTAATATTTTATTGTTACAATGTAAAGTGGCCAACAAAGAAACATATTTTCTTACGCGCCGCCAATGATCGAATTTAAAATTTGCGAGAATGCATGATAAACACGTGATTTCGGCTACTTTTGACCACTTACGACGCTGATTTGTGATTTATAGTTTCATTTAATATTTGCCAGACTATAGTAATTAATAAAATTAAGTTCAGCGTTGATCAGACATGTATTCACAACAAAAAATTAATACGCTTTTAAATTTATATTTATTACGACCAGTTATTATTGACCAGTCTTTTTATATAAATTTTTTAGATCCTAGCAGTGAGGATTTTAAAGAAAAATGTAAATATTATGACGATAATCCAAAGCAAATTGTCTCTGCATCTTTCAATGTAGACGAAAATATTAGGGAATATGTTGCTAAAGCTTTAAAGAGTCTCTATACTAATTCATCGTTTTTGGAAGACCCTCTTGCATGTATAAAAGTAAGTAACTTTTATGATAAACCTTTTTTCTTCTTATATCAGACCTTTTAATTTTTATTTTTTTATTAAAACCATTTATATTGTCTAGTTCAGGGCTTCCCAAACTGTGCGTCGCGATGCCCTGGGGCGTCGCTGTGTTGTCCCAGTGGCGTCGCGGGTAAGCGCGGACTTTTAATACAGAAAATAAAGGTATTTGATTTTAAATGAGTATAAAATATATATGTACTAATAAACAAATCAAATAAAAATATAACGTCAACTCGATGGACGCTTGATTTATACGAAATTATTCAAAAACTGTGCAATCCGAAAATTATACGATGGTTCACGAAATTATCCGAAAATCGGATATTTATCCGGACATTGGCAACACTGGAGCCGAGCGAGCGCTGGGCGCATTCTGTTTCATCGGTTTGCTCCCCTCCCCCGTGTTTCCTACTGTCGCGCGTGTTATGTCATTTAGTTAAGCTTTTGTTTTGTTTTATTACGCACGCGGAGTTTTTTGCTATCAACAATGCATACTTATATTCAAAAGAATAGAAAACAAAGTCAAGAATCAGGCGAGAGCAGTATTGTTTACAAAAAGAAGAAATATAGGAAATATGAGGACCAATATTTGGATTTACTTGCATTACTTAAGGGAATGTAGAACTTCCGCAATGGGTTGTTTGTCACAAAGTGTTGGCGGCTAAAATAAATGCTTCCTAATAATCTAAAATGGCTTTTGGAATCAACTCAAGTCATTTACAAGGTAAGCAAAGAGACTTTTTTGTAAGAAAATTGCAACAGCTAAAACATCAGATCACGGCTTTGGTTTCAAGAGCATCAACTCCTACCAAAGCATTGCTCGCCTCTAACATGGTAGCTTACCGTGTTGCCAAATGTAAAAAACACATACGATCGCTGAGGAACTGATCTTACTTGCAGCGGTTGACATGGTAACAATGATAATTGGAGAATCGGCAGCTAAAGAAATAAAAAATTTAACTTTTTCAAACAATGGGGTTAGTCGCGATATTCACGACATGGCAGGGCGAGGCGACTGATAGTAATGATAATGCTAATTGATATGTTATGTACGGTACATACAAAAAAAACAAATATATGTGAGGATTTGTTATTTTGCAGAAAAATATGTGAAAGTTATAGAACTACTGATTGATTCGAGATTTTAAAATCATATATTACTGAAAATAATATTAACTGATACAACTGTGTAGGCGTGTGTACGGATGTGTCTGGACAGTATGGAGGACTACAAGCTCTCATCAAGACCAAGGCGCCAAGTGTATAATGGAGATGGACACATTGTGTCATACATAGAGAGGTCTTATCAGCAAAGAACGTTACACCTGAATTAAGTGTTGTGATGGATAGCATTATTAAAGTGGTGAAGTACATTAAAACGCGATCCGTATATACAAACGTATATATAAATTAAGAAATGGATTTTACACGTATCTGACTACAAAATCACATGATGATGTGCAAAACTTTATTAATTCAGAGTTAATAATAAAATTAGTCTACCTCTGTGACATATTTAACAAATTAAATGATCTTAATAAGTCTTTGCAGGGAAACAATGCTCATATCCGGCAATTGGCAGATAAAATTACGAAGTCTCAGAAGAAGTTGCTCTTATCGAAGAGAAAATTAGAAGATCAAGAAATCGACTGTTTCCCTGCTTACAAGGTACGCTACAGGAATAGATAGAAATCCTTGATTCCTCTTTAAAAAATATGTTTACACAACACATGTTATCATTGAGCGAACACTTTAAGAAATATTTTTCCGGAGATATGAAGCAATAGGACTGAGTCAGAAACCCTTTCCTGTCATCCACGTCATCGACACTATCAACAGAGGAAGAAGAACAACTGCTAAAATTGTCCTGGAATTTCAACGTAAAGCTTCAATACGACAAGGATAAACTGTTTGAATTATGGAGCTCACTTTCTCATTAATAACACGCCATAAGCACTGCTGCATTAAAGATTTTATTACCATTTGAGACTTCGTACTTGTGTGAAACGGGCTTTGATGCAGTAGCAGTAATTAAAAACTAGTACAGGTCAAACATAAACTTAGAAATCCTTAGGCATTACTTAGGCCAATCGAAATCGTGTCACCGTCGCGTCACTGTTGCGTAGCCTTGGTGGGACAAGGGCCTAAGAATAACTTAAATCTAGGGATCCTACCTTAAATTTTACCTTTACCATGCGATCTGCGCGATGCTCCATTACGCATATTATGATTTTAAAATTTTTACATTTTTGTTCTTCCCAACCTATATATTTTACCTGTTAAAGAAGAAGATCGATGAAAGTAGTTATATCAACTGGACAACTTAAAAATACATACTCCTCATAGACTTATATATTTATACTCCAAATTTTAAACTCTGATAATTAGATTAGTTGTTGTGCATATAGTATACTATTGATTGAAACAACAATAAAAACAAGGTGTAAAACAGTCAATCATTATCGATAAGATTATTTACAATAAAAACCAAGTTTTACTACTGCAATTACACCGATGACTGATGTGAAAATATAGTGCTTTCGATCCAATAATAATGCGTTCATCCACTGTCCAATAATTTGACAATTTATTCTTATCGAAATTATGATTAAAATGGCAACTAGCAAATATCATAAATAAAAAACTTAATATTAAATAACTAATTCTTAATTAAAAAAAATATTCTTTATATCATTCATAATATGTTATCTTAATTTCCAAAACTCTTTCTTTCCTCTTTCAAAAAGTCTATTTATTGTTTTCTATGACAAACATTGAGTACTTCTACCGTTTTTTTGTGTATTTCTTTACATTTTATTCCCACTACTAAATAGCAAAATCTTTTACAATGAAACTTTTTTAAACTTCTTTTTAATTTAAATATTATGTTTATATGGGATTCAGCCACAATTTTTTGTTTGTAATGAAAATCACATTTTTTAACTAGCCAAAGTTTGACGTTTTGAAATCCTGCTCAAAATATTTATAGAAATTTTGAACAACCTAATAAAACTACCAATCATGGACCAAGGTTATTTTTTGGTTATAATATAATATGATGAACATTAATATTCCTATTTAATCGGTAAAAGATACAGGTTAGGTTAGGAGAAACAAAAATGTCAAAATCTTAAAATCATCTACGTAATGGTGCATAGCGCATCTCGCATGGTAAAGGTAAAAATTTAAGGTGGGATCCCTAGATCCTTGTCTAAGGGTAAACTCGTAGAATAATGTGTGGTAGGAGAATACAGGGCGGCCTTGCCTATTTAACATCGGAATATAAAGTTATGACGATTTAAATCAGAATGGCTTACTTTTTACGCCTTAGCGACTACTTAAGGGTTAAAACATATAAGTATTGCTATGATTTTAATACTATCTACAACTAAGTGATCTAATGATCAATTTATTTGCTTCAGTTTAACAGCGACGAAGTTTTTGGACGATCGACAGCACGTCAAGCAGAAGCTGCCTCCCGATATGTTCCTGTATATATGTATCAGTTATCTTGGTATAACAAAAGTAATCCCCTTCCAGGTAATATTGTTTTTATTTTTATTTCATAACTTCCACTTTTTAGAATTGTAGTTTTTACAAATAAACTTTTGGCAAAAAAATAGAAGTTGTAAAATAAATTATTGATTTGAAATATCTACTTCTAAATCGTGAGCAGTTTTCAAAATTATATTTTCAAGTTAGACTACTTTTTCATTCATTAAAACAAACAGGAACTATAGATTAGTGCATCGCACCATTTTAATCATCAAATTAAGTCATTCAATCAGTGTCACTACAATCATGCAAAGTGCATTAAAGCCATAACCTAAAAAAATCGCAAAAATAACCTCTTACACAGTTTTTGCCAAATGAATTAGTAATTTGACATTTTCACTGCAGCTGCAAGTATACCTAATAAGTTGTTTCCATTTTAAATTGTATTAAGAAACATCTTAGATCATAATTTTGGTAATAAATGTTTTAGGTGTTGAACATGCAGCCGATTTATATTACATGTGGAATGTAACATTCGACTCCACTACCCACAATGATGCTCTTCGCAAACCTATACTTAAATGGTGGACTAATTTCATTAAATATCAGTAAGTTTCATCTTTACATCGTTTCAGCTATAATTTTTTAAATATGCTTTTATAACATAATATATATTTAGAGGTTGTACAACCTCCTATACAGTCTCTAATATTGTGAATAAGTTGTTACATTGGCGAGCTCTAGAAAAAATCCAGCCTTCTGTTTTACTAAATTATTAAACTGGGCACACAAAATCGTTGACAACCTATTGCCACTCAGTTAGCTTTTAAACATAAATATTGGGGTGGATTTCATTATACTACACAGAATGGCAGATCCAAGTATAATTCCACACGTAAAAAAACCCTAAAAAGTGTTTGTTCTGCTATTCGTTTATTAAAGTTCCTACCAGTTTGACCGATGTAAGTTTTTGGGCAGTCGCCACATTGAAGTTTGTACACATCACTAAGTGTTTTTTATTTTGGCTCTTGTTATTTTTAATATATTTGCCTAGGTTGTTATTTGTTCGGAAAGCTGGTGTTATTCCTTTCTTTTTTATGTGTTTGGCTATTTTTGTTGTTATTTTGCCTATATATGTAATCGAGCAGAAGGTACTGGGTTTTTTCTCTAGTGGTGGAAATACTAATTTCATGGCTTTCTTGTGTAGTTTTTGATTTAACATTTTATTAATTGTTTGTTCGTTGTAACAACGATCCTCTATATTTCGCTGACTTTTTGTCAGCTTCATCAGGAGACAACTAAAATATGATTAAAAGTTATATAAAAAGCAGTTTAGAATAAACAATGACTCACTTACAGATTTAGAGTGGAAAGTATTTAAACAAGTTATTGAACACAATTTGTTCAAAACAGTACTGACAGTATTGATTAAAAGCACCTAGGTCACTAGGTGCTTTTAATTAAATATAAAATTAAATATAAAAACAGAGCAAACAAAAACAACCACGAAACAATTAAAACACAATAAAATTACACATTAAAAATATACATCGTGATTTAAAATATAATTGTTAACAAAAAAATTATTTAGACATACTAAGAATATTACAATAGATATTGCTCAACTCTCCCGTGTCTGTCTTGTAATTTACTGTATATATACTGCATATAAATGGAGAAAACTAATTATGTTCAACAACTTGTTTAAATACTTTCCACTCTAAATCTGTAAGTGAGTCATTGTTTATTCTAAACTGATTTTTATATAACTTTTAATCATATTTTAGTTGTCTCCTGATGAAGCTGACAAAAAATCAGCGAAATATAGAGAATTAAAAGAAAAAAAAGTTATTTTTTTAAATAATATCAGACTGCATACCCGATATTTCAACACAATAAATTGTTATTTACGTTTCGGTCGATAATCTTACCAGTTTTGCTATATATATATATATATATATATATATATATATATATATATATATATATATATATATATATATATATATATATACAACATTAACGAACTGAGTTCGTTAATCTCTGTGTCACGTTTTACGTTTTGAATCTTGACAAAGGCAAGGGTTTCCTGCCGAAACGTTGATTGATTGCAATGGAAAATAAAATCTAGTTCCACATGTAACATATCTTTATTGAACCTAAACCCAAGAAACATTAATTTTATATTAAATATAATACGGTCCAAGAAACTTAAAACTACAATATAAATATATATAATAGTTAAATTAAAGGACTACTAAAGAAACACACAAACAACAGTTTTTGATTTCCTCAAAAAGTTTTTAGACAGTTTTTTAATTAACCTGTTGTAGAAAAATAATAACCCCACAGCAAACACATAACATTGCTTGAAATTGGAGAAAACTATAACTAAAGATCTACCAACTTCCACTAAACTGAAGGACTTTCCTCGCAAAGCATAGTCGGATTTTACTATAAAGCATATAGAGCAATACGAGCATCGAGCAAAAAGACAAAAGAGGGAATGTAAAGGTAGTGGGGGCAAACATATTGTTAGACAGGAAGTGCGATCTTTAAAGGCCACATTAAACAAGGAAAGAGAGTCTCTCTCCTTGTTTGACATCAAATTTAGTTGGGTTATGTTATTGTTTGTCCCAAATGTCACATGAAATCTTATATAAATCTTATTTATATTGAAGTTTTTTTTAACAATTGTGTCGCATTTTAGACTCTTATCATTAATAATTAATTAAAACTTTCTCTTCTAAGACACATTCTGAAAAATATTATATAGCTACTGTTGATAAGTGTCGGAAAATTTAAATTTGGCGCATTCGCATTTCCGGATATGTCCGCCATCAGAGGCCACTTTTTTGGTCTCCTTTTCATAAGCATTAGATTCCCTCTTTTGTCTTATTGCTCGATGAATACGAGTCAATCTGCTTTAGATGTTTCTCGGCTAATTCGTCCAGTGGCTTTTGAATAATCAAACCCAATCTAAATATAGCTTCTTTAAGTCACCCAGTAAATCCAATATTATTATACTAAAATATTATTTAAAATTTATATTATTATCAATAATTTTATCATTAATAGTTTTTACTAGTTATGAATTTCTCTACAGTAACAGTTTTTTTTAAATTCTGATCCTCATTTTCAGAAATCCTACTCCCACGAAAGATGAAGATCTACAAAATATTATTTGGCCAGAAGTTAAACCGGGGTCTGTGAAGTATTTGAATATCGATTCCACATTTGAAGTGAAAGAAAACCCTCGACAATATTATGAAATTGAATCAATTCTCGATCCTTTCATAAATGAGCCTCTTATAACATATTAAAATGAATACAATGTAATTTAATGAATATAATCAATGTAATGAATAATACGTAATTTAACAGAAAGATAAATAAAAATAAACAAACACATTTTTGTTGATTTATTAAAAAAAACAAACATTGAAATCATGATCACAAAGAGGAAAAGAACGGCCTCTAAAAAAAGGCCACTTATTCATTTCCACAGTGCCTTGCAGAGTGATTTTGACCAACCAATTCCGAGTGACCTCTATGTAAATTCCATCTTTGGTAAATTATCATTAATTCGAATAACGTACCCTCTTTAGTGACAAAGTAGAGGTTACCGAGGGAACGGTACTAGGCTCAGGCTTCAGTCTGGTAGAGGTCTCTTGGTCGGTTTTTTCAAAAGAACAAAACTTATGCAATAAATTATATCCAGAACCGTCTTCTTAAAAGCACTTTAGGTGAGGTGTGATCGTTTGTAATATAAAACATTAAATTCTGCGTTTTTTATTAATATTTCAAATGCCTTATATCTTACTAGTACCTACCGGAAATACCTCAAACTTTTCGATGTCCCTTAGAATATTCCTTCTCAGAACTACATACAACTGGCCTACGATTTCTAAGTGGGAGATATGGAAAAACAATTCTGAATAGTTTCGCTATCCACTTGATTCTCCGCAGAAATCCGTCATAAACGAAATTCCATACGCCGATATCTGTGATCGACGACGGCTGAAGTCACATGTGAGAGCGGGGCGGATTAGCCCAGTGGATCAAATAAGCCAAGCAATTAGGTAACCGTGTGTCTAGTCACGTGGTGCTTATACACACGTATATACACGTATACACACACGTATACACAAACGACCAACCTATGCCGATCGAAACCAAGCACTTCCTCTATGCTGACGATCTTGCAATACGTGCTCAAGGATTCCCTAAGATTCAATCCCTCTAAAACCCAAGTCGGCTCTTTTAACGTTTACTCAAAGAATGCCAAGCGAGAACTCCAAATTGCGTGAAATGGTAACACATTAGAACACACAAACCAACCTATATATCTTGGAGTAACTCTAAACCGGTCCCTCACCTACAGGCAACATTGTATAAAAACAAGAGGGAAAGTAACGGTACAGGCACTGTGTTTATTAACTGCTGAATATGCGTGCCCCGTTTGGAGCAGATCTGCCCACACCAAGGAAGTTGATACTGCGCTAAATGAGATATGCAGGATAGTAGCGGGGTGCATGAAACCAACGCCACTCTCAAATCTATATAAAGCAGCGGGTTTTGCAGAACCCTTAACATGCAGAGGCGTTGCATAGCACACAGAGAAAATTAAACAGATCTCGGACGAGCGGCATGCCCTATACAAAGCTCGAACACCACGAAAGCGACTAAAATCTAGGAAAAGTTTTCTTGGATCAGTGCATTTTCCTTGGATGAACCGCCTGAGTATTTTCCTCTTCCCCAGATTCAATGGATCAGCCAGTCCCTAGACTTTAAAACGTGGAAAACTATAAATAGAATAAGAACGGGTCGCTCCAGTAAAATCAAACATGGCAAAATGGAGAAAAATAAACCAAGATGATGTGAACTGTGACTGTGGGGAAACACAGAATATGGAACATCATCTTACATGCAGAAACTGTCCGGACACGATAAAGTAAAGTAAGTAACAGATAAGAGACAATTATTTCTTGTAGAAAAGTTTCTAGTTATTTCTAATCTAGTATTTATTTTATTATACAGGGTGAGTAATGAGGAACTTTACATACTTCTACCATATGTAGAGTCCCTCAGGGAGCATATCATGTGGCCACTAAAAAATGTCAACTCCTTTTCTTTATTAATTAACAGGATGATTTGTGTAATTGACCATTTATTTCATTTTACTGTAGTGTTTATACGGCTCATTTGATTTTTTTAATTTTTGCATGATACAGTACACTACTATTAAGCATGCGACTGGTATTAGCTAAACTAAAAAATTCCCGGACTGGCTTTGGAAAAATTTATTTAGGGATTCGTATTAAATATTACACCATGAATATATTTTTTTTTAAATGCAATAAGTGATTTTCAAACTACATAAATAGCCAATGAAAACGACATATGCGACAGTGTTGTCGCACTTTTATTAAATTTTTAGTGAACGATCAAATCTTACCAAAAAAAGAACAACCATAATGAAGTATCAAATTATAAGGTATTAATTTAAACAAATGTTATAAATTTCAAACATTTTAATTAAAATGAGTTCCTACAAAATTAACATCTTTACTGTTACTTTGTATTATCTCTACGATAGAATCAATTGTTTTTCAATTTTAAATTTTTACTCATAGATCGTATTGGGGCATTATTTTCGATAAATAATAAATTAAATTGATTAAAAAGTCTGTGTTAGTTTTTGTTGATTGTAAATGATTAAAATTTTATGTCAAATAATAATACATTGCATCAACTGTACTAAATAAAAATAAATCTAAAAAAGTTTAAAATGAAGGTTGGCGTTGACCGTTTGACATTTCTTGATATTTTATACCATTGTCATGATTGTCATTATCAATTGTTATGTATGTGTACAAGAATACATATTTCTTCTGTCATATCTACGTTAAGTACATTGTGTTAGTTTTGGTAGAGCTTTTGTTACTTTCGTTCAAAATGCCACATCAGTTTTCGACCACAGAATATGCAGACATAATATTTGTTTATGGATTCTGTAATGGAAATGGTAGGGCTGCTAGTAGAGAATATCGCAGGAGATTTCCTAATCGTCGAACTCCCAGTCATCCAACATTTGGGTCAGTTTTTAATTATTTGCGAGAAAATGGCACTTTTCCTAGTGGAACAACAGATACAGCGACATTTAGATGAAGCGCAGGAAGATGACATTATGGACGCCGTCACTATGAACCCTACAATAAACACTAGACAAGTAAGTCGAGAACTCAATGTTACTCAATCAAAAGTAAGTAGAGTCTTACAAAAAAATAATCTATATCCATATCACATTCAAATGGTTCAGCGACTACATGCTGGAGATGAGATCGATAGGTTGGAATTTTGTAGATTGATTAACAATAATCGATTAACGCTATACAGGATACTATTTACAGATGAAGCCCAATTTACCAGAGACGGGATAAATAATTCACGAAATTCACATGTGTGGGCAGAAGAAAATCCTCATGATATTCGAGAACGTCGTTCTCTGTTAAGGTTTTCGGTTAACGTGTGGATTGGTGTCATAAATAACCAATTAGTAGGTCCTCACTTTTTTTATGGTCCTTTAACAGGGCAGGTCTATTTGAACTTTCTACAAAATATTTTGCTATCCGAGAGATGTATTTTCAGCATGATGGGGCACCCCACACTTTTTACTGGCAGTGAGACAACATCTCAATAATGTTTATGGCAACAGGTGGATAGGACGTGCAGGTCCTATTTCGTGGCCTTCAAGATCCCCTGATTTCAATCCCGTTGATTACCATATTTGGGGACAATTGAAGCAACTAGTTTACGCAGTGAATATTAATAACCGACAACAATTAATTGATAGAATTATACATTGTTGTAATACTATTAGAAACGATCCACAGAGTATCCGTAATTCAATACGTCAATTAACAATTGGGCAACAAAAATGTGTACAGGCTGCAGGGTTCCGTTTCGAAAATCTATTTTGAATTATTTTTATTTTGTTACCATTATTTCCAGTTCTAATTTATGGGTTTATCATAACTATGTACATATTTTTAGTTTTTTTTAAATTGTTCTTCGTTATTGTTAGTAGTTACTGTTTCTGTTTTTTGTTGTGCAGTGACTCAGTTTATCATTTCAATTAAAATGTTTGAAATTTATAACATTTGTTTAAATTAATTACCTTATAATTTGATACTTCATTATGGTTGTTCTATTTTTGGTAAGATTTGATCACTAAAATTCACTGATTCGCTAAAAATTTAATAAAAGTGTGACAACATTGACGCATATGTCGTTTTCATTGGCTATTTATGTAGTTTGAAAATCACTTATTGCATTTTAAAAATATATATATACAGGGTGTAATATTTAATACGAATCCCTAAATTAATTTTTCCAAAGCCAGTCCTGGAATTTTTTAGTTTAGCTAATACTAGTCGAATGCTTGATAGTAGTGTACTGTATAATGCAAAAATTAAAAAATCAAATGAACCGTATAAACACTACAGTAAAATGAAATAAATGGTCAATTACATAAATCATCCTGTTAATTAATAAAGAAGAGGAGTTGATATTTGTAGTGGCCACATGATATGCTCCCTGAGGGACTCTACATATGGTAGAAGTATGTAAAGTTCCTCATGACTCACCCTGTATAATAAAATTATATAAGTATATTTTAGATTTTAAGTTTCAATCTCCTTCTTTGTTGTAGTAATTAATTTTTTATAATACATAAATATACTTCTAAATCTCCAAAAAGTAGTTTTAGTGTTCCCAAGTCTTTTCTTGCAACTTTGTTTGTGGATTTTCAGTTTTTCCAGTGTACCTGTTCTTCTGGTAATGTGACTAAAATACACCAAATATATCTATTATATTTGTTTAATTAAACAATCTATAATTTACCTTTACCTTTACCTATAAGTTGTTCTTCTTCTTAACGTGCCCTATCAAGTACTCTTGACGTTGGCGATTAACATGACGAAGCTGTCTCTGTCTCGAGCTATTCTAAAGAGTTGCTCAGCTTTCCTTATTCCTGTCCATTCCCTGATATTCTTCAACCAAGAGGCCTGCTTTCTACCAATTCCTCTGCGTCCTCCGATTTTACCCACCATAATAAGTTGAAGAATATTATATCGGTCTCCCCTTACTACGTGTCCAAAATAGGCCATCTTTCTACATTTGATGTTATCAAGCAGCTCGCGAGCAGCATTAGCTCTCTAAAGGACTGCCACATTTGTTAGCATAGCCGTATATGGGATTTTTAGTATACGTCTGTGCAGCCACATTTCAAAGGCCTCCAGATGATTAATGGTGGATATTTTTATTGTCCATGCTTCGACACCGTATGGTCTGACCAAATGGAGCATTTAATCATGCGCGCTTTCGAAGTTGAAGTGGCAAGTTA